ATTTGGACTCCTATGAAATCCGGTATTTTTTATCGTTTTATTAGTTGAAGGTTCACATTCCAGTGGCGCACCGGGGGGGGGGGGCCTTCGAAGGCTTGAGCCCCCCCCCCCAAGGTTGTCAATTTTATTTTGTTTGGTCCATTTTTTTAGTCCCACAATCTGACCGTGGTGATATGTATGTGGCCTATTTTCGAGTTGTATACCAAAGTGTGACGTCATTTAGAACCGGGAAGTGTAGTTCAAACGAATGGAGTGCATGCGTGCGCGTGCATGTGTTGGTTCTGAATCACACGCTAATATATTGACACATTATTGTGCGCGTGATGTATTCACTTCGGTTCCTCTATAATAGGGATGTAAATAGCGCCACTATAAACGTCAAAATAGTTCAAAATTTGAGGAAAAAATTCGGCTCGGGTAATTATCATCATCCATACTCCAACCAGTCTTGAACATAGCGTTTAACACCTCCCAGGCACACATTTTATTCCCTTATTTGCAAACGTTCAAGCATTTTCTAATATATTTTATACCTGGATATAGGTAGCTTTTCAGAACGTATAATCTAATAGGTACTCTTTAAAAAAATCAAAAGTTGTGGAATTGTTTTATTATCAATTAGTTGTCAAAAAATGTAAAATGTATTGGTACTATCATGTGGAAATGAACTTGGCAAATCATTTAAGAATCTGTGGAGTTGCTCTCACTGAGATGAAAATTCAGGAAAAATATTTTGAGGAAAGGAAGCCTGAGAAACTGAATCAGAGTACTCCACTTCTTCGTTAATTTGTTTTTGATATTAGATCAAAGAAAACCAATAATTGTCAGTTTCTTTTGTCAAGGGATTTCAAACGGACTGCGATACTCCTAGGACGGACTTCGATAAGACGCATTTTTACCATCGCGTGAAATTTCTCTTGACAGCACCATTACCACAAAAGTAAGATGTACTTGAGCAAAATTAAAGTGTTCATGAGCTAAATTAAATAACAAATCATTAACATAACTTTTTGAGCAGTAGTCGTTTCTGTTATTTGTCCAGTTACAGTTTTTGTTATTCTCAAAATGTTTGAACCAGGTATGGCATGTATTATGCACGGACTTTTATTACAATTCACCATTGACTTTGAAATAGGCTTAGAATCTGAAAACGTATTATCTTGTTCTCCCTCTTTAACTTAGAACATCTGGAAACATCATAGTGCGCTTATTTCGGACGTACGTTGGCACTGTGCCAGGTAATATTTCCTTTCAGTTTAAAATCTTGAACAACTGTATCAATCCTTCAGATTTTGTTTCGTTCTGATCTTGAAAGGACCTTATTTGCTAATTAAGCCTCGCATGGAAATCCTAAAAAGGTGTAAAGTGTTGTGTTTTGGAGACGTTATACGAATACTATATCTGCATGATTTCCAAATGCTCTTTTTCAAACCTTTTTGTTGCCAGGTTTCAGATTTTCACGTCGTAATGTCTGCACCTTTGTACTGACTGTAGTGACGACCATTCAAGTAAGTTTAGATGTTGCAAGTTTTTTTGGCCAGCCATACTGAATTTTAGTCGATGAAAAATTCAGAATTGGTTAACCTGATGTTTAAGAATGAACCTCTATTCGTTCTCAAGACAAACTAAATAAGAACTTTTGCCATTTCCTCACAGATTGTGTTATTGTGGATGGACGTATTTGGAAACATGTTGAGATTCTGCTATGAATTGGCTGTTCTGCCTGAAATACGCAAAGCATGGCCTGGTTTTGATGAGGTTATGCACAAACTGAAAAGTAAGTGTTGAATGCCAACCGTATTGGGAGCTATTCGTTGCCAGGGTGGGGAGGGGAAGTGGGAGGGGTGTTTTCGAGGATCACATCTTTTCGGTGAGTGATGCTCATGGAAATATGTGAATTGATATACCACCCACAAGTTAAAACAGCAGCTATAGGCAATTGTTTAAAAATCTTTTTTTTTTAAATGGCGCATATAAGTTTATGACGTCTGACTAGGGCTTTGACCAAAGAAATTGACAAATTGGGAAACCGCTAAACATAGTGCTGAATCAGTTGATATAGCACTATAGTACGAAATGCCGTAGGTCGCAGGTTCACACCCCACTCCAGTCAATTTCTTGGTTCAGCTTGATAATTATTATGTGTGCACTTATTTTCCTTTGTAGAACCCAGACCCTGACAAAATCATTTCTTATTTCCCCCCAAATAGTTACCTTTTGGATAACGAGTGTCGTGGCCGTTATTTTCACTGTAATCCATACCATCGATATGCAGCTACGATACAGGTAAGTGTAAAGCTGTATTCATCACTGGTATACCTGGAAAAAAAAACGTTTCCTTTTTTTAAACTACCCCTGCTTATACACTTATTAATGGTGATCACAAGATTATGCTTTTGTGCTAATGTTTGCATCTTATGATCGCAGGAAACACACTGTGATGCTGTGGAAGGGTGACCGGTCATTTGTCCCTGAAGGAAAACTGCCCTTCAGTTCAACGTTGGTGAGTCAGATCTGAAATATCAATAACGGTAGTTCAAATTCATTGGTGACTGTTATATTCTCTCAAGACAATTGTTTAACAGCTGTAGATCGAGCCAGAAAATCAGAATTATCACGGGATCCATTTGTTGAAATGCTTGATTATTTATTTATATTAAGAAAAGGAAATTGGAACCTAATGGTGTGAAAATACTATGGTGTGAAAATACTATGCTTGGAACGAGGTAGGTAGAAGCGGGGATTCTCTTCTTCTGAAGAGAGATGCATGAGTATCATTTATAAAGTGCAGACACTTTGAACAGAAATATAAGTTGCTACCAGTGGCGTAACTAAAGCCCCCCCCCCCCCCTTGTGTCCCAAGTGCCCAAGAATTTGGAGAAAGCAAGAATGAAAAACACATTTCTGAGTGGCCCTCCAGAAAATGAGGCCATTAAGTTCCCTCTGCAAATTGCAGGGGGAACTTATCTTATCTTAACTTATTTTATCCCCGTCTCCTCCCTTTTCCCCGACACGCACACTACAGTCAAATTGTCAGTCTGGTCACAATAACATTGCCAGTCAGCATGTCACTAGGCCAGTGGCGTAGGCCTATCCAGCATGGAAAGGGGGAGGCTAAGACAATTTTAAGACGGTTCAGATGCCGATACAGTAAAGTCTTAATCCCACCCCTTCCCCCAGCATAAAAAAGCTCGATGTGCTGCGGCACTAGGCAGCAAATTGCCGTGTGCATCCCCTGTGGTGTTAATTAAGTATGTGAACAAACTGGAATTAATCACACGCTAACACTAATTTAGAATTGTTATCTGTTCCGTATCATGTGTAACAGGTTGCAAGTTTAAGATACTCTGGGTACAATGTGGCATTCACGATGTGGGGTAAGTTCTTCTTTTGATGAAATGTTTATAAGAAGGATTTTGCGTCGGGGAGATGTAATATATTTGTATATTGGGTTTTGCCCTTTGCGGATGCATTTTTATCACACTGCATATACTCATTGTCGTCCAAACTTAAGGCTTGCAAGAAGGGCAAAACCCATCATTAAAAACATAAATTAAAAACAAATGATTAAATTGATAATAATAATAATGTGATGGTTAGCTTTTATACATTTGTCTCAAGGTGCTTCATAGTTGTTCATTTTTTTTGGGGGGGGGGGTTACAAGGGGTGTAGCTCGTGTAATGAAATGAATTTCCAAAAACCCCTTTTGAAAAAAACTTTCGAACAGATGTCCTATTTGATAAATTTCAGATAAACCTCCTTTTTCTCAAAGCCATTCTGCTGCCATTTCTGTCACTTTTTGGTTACTTCTGTCCAGGTTTTGTGGTCATGCAGCTTCTGCTGTGGGTCGTCCTGTCAATCATCATTTTATCGAAGGAATATGTCCTCATTCTCTTAAAACAATATTGGTAAGTTGTTTCAGGGATGGATCCAATATTATAATAGAAAAAGGAGGAGGCAAGCTAAAATTGTGTTTACACACTTTGGAGTGAATTATAGTCTGTAGGATATCAACAGGGAGTTGTCTAACTTGTAAATTAGGTTTTTGCTTAAATTTGCCATATTTCCAAACATTTCACATATTGTCGAAATGAAGAAAACGAAAAATGTTGTCTGGTCCCTTATTACCAGGTTTTCAAAAGTGGAACCTAATTTAGAGAACTGGATGTACGTAGAAGCGATCTTTATATTGTCGTCAGTAACAAGAACATTGCCTTTATGTATATTGTGACAGACTGAAATTCAATGTTGATTTTTTTCTCCCACATGCAGGTTGACTCTTGTTGTCACTTTTGCTTTCTACTACGCCCAAGTCTACATCTCGCAAATCGTCTTCCTCCAGAGAGCGCCAGACCAACAGGAGCAGTCTATATTTAGCTGCAGAAGGCAGACGTCTTTTGGCCTGGACAACAGGTCACATAACCATTGGTTCTTGCTCTTTTTATATCTATCTAAAGAGGAAGAAAAAGGTTTTAAATTCGGCTAAAGACGAACATTTTATCGCTTGGAAACTGAAGCTGACCTATGCGCAATGAGTACCTAGCTACGTGTTTGGGAGACTGCTTGTATATGATATTGACTGTTTACTGGTCACACGCTAACATCACAAACGCTTCTTTTCGTGACAGTAGTAAAATCCTCCTCAATTGGCAGTATTTTTGGTAAAATTTCGAAGCAGAAGACACCATCTCGCTAGTCCTTTCAACACGAAAAGCTTCAAATCAAACCTTTTTTTTTCTGTTCCTATTTAGACATGTCTTTCACGTCACTGTATACATCTTGATGTTTGTCAACTTCATCCTTGGGATGTTGAGCTGCTTTGTTCGTATTTCGAAAGCCCTCCTTTTTGGAACCCTCTACATCGGACGCTTGGACAGACTTCTACTGATGCGGGACTGGGAGACTTGGGACAAAGGTGAAGTTCAGTCATTTATTTTGGGCATATTCCAAAAATACGTGCAATGTGTGTCTTTACGAGATTTCTGGTTAGCAAAACACAATGGTGTCTAGTATTTCACGGTTTTGACCCATAAACACTTCAGCGCATGCAGACTGAGATTTATATTATTGTGTGATCGTTGTAAGCAAAGATTTAGTCAAGATTTGAAACTTTGCATGGTGGTGGACTGGTGGTATGAACTAGTAAAGGTTTGCGGTAACACCATGTGGAAATCTATTTTGGGAAGATGTGTGGTTCTGAACAGTCAAGTCTCTAGTCGAGTCTCTAGTCAAATCACTGACCTTTCAAAAGACAACTTCTCAACTGTCGTTCAACCCTCATAACTTACCTTATGTGTAATCGACTTGTGATGGACTTTAGATTTGATGCGGATGACATGCACCCCTTGATTGATGATGTTTCGATTGCATCTGTTGGCAGGTTACACGGCCTACGTTGGCTTCCTTCAGCTGGAGGTTGCCCATACTCATCCAGTCCTCGTCACCTTCTGTCATTTCCTTCAGGAGACCGTGAAGACTGACCAAGCTGCATCGCAGAAATACACAACCAACGATTTGGTGTCTATTGTCAATGCACGTGAGTCAAGCTCATGGGCGTCGCGAGGGGGGGGCAAGGGGGGGCACTTGCCCCCCCCCTGGAAAAGCCAAAAAAAAAAAAAAAAAAAGAAGAAGAAAAAGAAAAGAAAAAAAGAAAAGAAAAAGAGGCGCGAAGACAAAGTGGTGTAAATTTAATGAGTTGGGGGGGGGGGGCAAATTGTCCCTGCCCCCCTCTAAAACTGATAAATCGAGAATGTGTTGAGAAATACAAACATTTTTTGGCAAATTTTTTTTTTGCCCCCCTCTAGAAAAAATCCTGGCGACGCCCATGGTCAAGCTCCACAACTCTTCAGGCTGACTGTTGTTTTTAGCAAGTGACTGCAATCGAGAAATAAATAAGCGAGATGAAGGAATGTTTCACAGTTGTTGGACATTACGATTGATGCAAAACGTTGCAAGAAGACTAAGTCACAATTTGTTGAACATTTCCTAACAATAGAACGTTATTTGCAATGTGGCAGTTCCTACTATAATTTTTCAGGCATTCATATAGCATGAACAGTTTAAGAGGCAAACATTTTGAAATAACGATTTCAAGAACACCTTATTTGTGCGAAAACAGGCTTTTGACAAAATTTAATTCTTGACATTTATGTTTGGGAAACCTATGAACTGCTCAAAGAGAATTTGCATCCTCAATCATGTTTACCCGGTGGAACTCACTTATTCCACTGAATTAAAGACTGATGTAACCTGACTTCTTGTTACAGAGATAGAGAGTGGATACGATGTGCCAGAAACAACCAATGGTAGATGCTACTCTCCTGGAGAGCCCTCAAGCGGTCAGTTATCACGGCGCGTGCGCAACAAGTGGCTGGTGGCATTGACTCTGACACGCAACCCTAATCTGGTGGTCGAACGGAAAGCGGCACTCAAACAAACAAGAACCGTTTCTTCTATCAGTGATGATATCGTGAAGAGAGGTAAGTCATAAAACATCACAAAATCACAACCATACTTGGTTCACTTTTGATATATTCTACTTTTTTGAAATATCATGTGACATTTCGAGATTATACTGTACAATGCAATGGAAACATTATTCTTAAGCTTCTTTGCGCTAGACAAGATGACACCTGTCGCATCGTCCAAAGTCACTAATGCTCAACTGATCTTTCCTCTAACAGATCGTTACGTTGTCGGTGAGGCTCACGCATGAATGACTTGCTTTGGTTGGAAGATGGCTGCTTCGGATTTGCAGGAAAAGCTATTCGATTAATCAACATACCAAAACGAGACTTGTTAATTGTTTGGTAGACAAATTAATAATACTGAAGTAAAGCTCTTGTTTTATGGAAATAAAATGTTGATGTTGAAGATGAAACTTAACGAAAAAAAGATGAAAGTTGTGAGAAAACCTCGTTTTTGTTTTAAATCAAAAATACTGATGAATATTTAAAGAACAATAAGAGTAAGTTTGCGTTTACATCATGTGACAAGTAATATTGTAATGAGTTTGTTTAGTTCTAAAAAGAGCCGGGTGATCAATATGCTCTGGAATGTACTTAACTTGGTTATTGTCTTTGAAAATAATATGTTTACGAACAAGCCTTTTTAGGGTAAAAATTATGTTAAAGACTAAAGATTCTTTCCGAATTTAAGAAAACGTGCACTTTGTGAATTATTTAGGCATAAGGTTCCAATATATTCTTTTGAAATATATGTAGGAGTGAATAATGGTTATATATATATTAATGTCATGTTTAAGTTTGATTTTTGTGGCAACATAGGCCGTAATAACTGATCAAAGCATGTTTGATAAGTGAAGAAAAGTATATCAGCTGTATATACGTAATGAGAAATTCCTTGCAATTAGTTGTATTATTAATTAGCGGTAGACGCACCTACTTAAAAATGTATTAGTACTTAATGAATTTTCCGGTGTTAGAAGTACAGTGTGTGATGGAGCTTTATCTATTAGAGTGCTGCTTGCCTTTTCTTGTCCATATTTGTGAAAGGCGCCTTTTATGAATGGACAAAAACGCTGCTGTAAAATAAAAGCATAATTTCTCGTACTTAAAACAGGGACATCATGTAATGGTAGCTGGGCAGTGCAGGCCTGAATTCATCCAAAACATGCATAACCCGGGTGTTAACTGTAGTAAGCCATAAAGTGTGTCGTGTTTTTTTCTCTTACTGCTTGTATGCGTATAATAATAATAATAATAAACTGGCTATAATTTTGATGAATGCCGTTTCAGTGGGACATTCTTTGTACTACATAAGGCAAGGCAAGCCCAGTAAAGCTGGTCCAGAGTGCACAATATTATATTCAATTGATATCAGAATGGTTATTCACTGTAACGTTTTTCATGCATACGGCCTACATCAGGCCAAATGTAGCCCATTCATGGACGTTGTTAATTGGGTAATCCTATAGACCTTTATCATGGTGCACCCCTTTGACTTTTTCCCATTCAAATCTATGTAACCAAAGCGAGGCTAGCAGGACAAATAGTCTGGTTCCTTTGTGCACAAAAACATTATCATTCAGTACTGTTATTGGGTACAGGTAACATGACTGAAATGGTGGCAGCATGATAAAGGTCTATTGCAAACTTGTGAGCCGAGGCGGGGAGGGGAAATTTGGAGGGAAATGAAGCTCACTGAAAGTCCTTGCCAGAATGCAATCAAAGAAAAGACAAAATCAAGTGATGAATTCTGAATTATTACGAGGAAAAGTGAAAAAAGAAGTTTTTTTATGATAACTGTTGTCACTTAAAAATGTATAAGTTTCTCAGTACTTACCTAATCCTGTGAAATGTACATTTTAATATTTCTGTAACATGATACTTTCCCCTTTAAAATCGCCAATTATTGTGTACTTTGCTTTTTGAGTTTGCCAAATACACTTGACCGCATACGTTTGTTTATTTTTCTGTCTACGTGAATACAAAAAAATAAAACGTAGATATGTATTGTGATTGGTTCAGGACTTTGATCATTTGAATTGTGTGCAATTGGCTGTGTATATTTTGACAAGGAGCCTGCGTTCACATATAATCCGATGTGGAAAACAGCAGTGGTTTGAAACTTCATTATTTCAGCATTTCATAGTCACAACAAGCTTTGCGTAATTTTGTTGGGAAGCCATGGATGAACAATCTTCATCGTACACGTAAGTGTCATGCCTGATTTCTTTGGTTCGGCTGCTTTTTGCATAACTTGTATAATTATTAGACAAATATGAAGGAGTAAATTGGACAGGGGCTCTTTATGTCTGTTTGAGAATTATAAGATAAAAGGTTCCCAATATTATACAATGGTTTACTTATTAAAAGCCCCGGTCCGGTGGATAATTGCAGGAAATTTGTCCATAACCCTTAGGCTACCATGTATTTAGGCTGGCTGATGCATCAGGATCGTTTTGTTAGTTTGTCAGCTTGCTTGTTCAGCTTATTGTTGTCATGGCATGGAATTTTTTACCAGTCCGAGGCATACCATCTTGTATTCATGTTGCCAGGTTCAAGGCCTATACACCCATGTGAGAACAATGACTTGAAAGAAAAGATAAATTGAAATATTGTTATATGATATTATTAAGAAAATTCAGTCGACTGTTGTCTATGATATCTTGTCATTACATTGTTATATACCAGTGGTGATTTATGTAACGAATTATTCTTTAGTTTGCGTTATGATGTCTTTTCTTTTTGTTGCGATATTTCATTGCAGAGTATCGGACTTTGGTAATACAACCCGACCTAACGGAACAGATTTCAACTATTATTTTGATCCCTCTCAATGGATGCGATGGAGTCTCTTGCCTGCTGTGAGTCAAATTTTGAAGTTTCATTTTGTGCGTGTGACTGAGATTGTTTTATTAGAGAAACTGGTTTAATAATAGGATCAAACATTTAAAAGAAGCAAACAGCATGGTGTTAGGAATGAATACTATTTTAACTGAGATTGTCTGAACTAGAAAAAAACTCAACATTCATCATCAACAACAACAACAACAACAACAACAACAACAACAACAACAACAACAACAACAACAACAACAACAACAACAACAACAACAACTACAACAACTACAACAGCAACAGAAAAACTAACAAACAGCAAACCCGACAAACAAACGGTAAAACCTAGTATACAATCAATTATCAACTTATACCAAAATCCATCACGGTGACCCTATTCCTTTCCTGTTTTATTTTCCAGTGTGCCATTTTCGTTTTGTTCTGCTGTTTGGAGAAACGAGTAAATTTGTGGCCGACTTGTTGCCATGGGCGTCCGGGTGTGGCCTTGTGAGTATGATAATAACACAACGAAGAGTCCAAAGGAACAGGGAAACTTGCTGAGACTTTTTCTGGAGTCTCCCACTCTCCCACTCTCCTAACTTATCCTCCCTCCCCCGATTGCTTTGAGCTGGGGTTTTTTTTTAAGAGGTGACGGTAAGGGGGAGTCTTTCTTATATTGGATCCAACCCACAGAAACTTGTTTCCAGAAAAGGAACGAGGAATCGAGCCATAGAATTTTGGTGAAACCAAAAGGTCCCTAAATGTTCTGTCCATTTTGTAAAGCTACGTTTTGTCATTTTGGATCCCAGTGGGGCGGGAAAAATGATGATTTTCATGCAAAAATGGGGTGAGGGGGACTCCCCTTACCCGTGCTCGGTCACCTATGCCACAATGAAGGGCAACAATCATTTAACCATCTCAAAACGGCATCAAGATTTCATGAGTAAAGTGCCTTTTTGGGGGTTTCGGTTTCTTTGTCTTCTCTACAGCCCGGTTAACCTGGTGGACAACTACACCGACCGTTGGGCCTTTGCGTTTGCCTTTGGTAGCATGTCAGCTATACTGATTAAAGCTGTTGTGTCTGGCCCTCTCTTCGTGACAAGCGATAAAATTGCTACAGTTACTTTAATGTTGCAAGGTAGTGTTTTCAATCACTCTTTGAAACATGCTTTAAAATATGATTTTTTTTTTGTCCTGTGGATTTCCCAGGGTCTGGTGCATGGGGTGGTTAAGGTGGTTAATTCCCCCACCCCAATGACCAGTGTTATTTATTTAGTAAGTTAACAAACTCCCAAGTTTTCTGGAAAAAATGCCTGCAGTCAATGTTTCAAATCTGGATTATTACCTAAGGCCTTTGGTCTTTTTATGCATTAACTGCAGAGTCTCGTCCATCCCCATCCATTCCCCTACCTTTCTCAAAATTTTGGAATTCAACAACTCATCCACCCCCTTTGAAAATCCAGGATCCACTGCCGCCATACCTAGGTACAACACGCTCATCAGCAACAAACAAACAAATCAATGTTATTGTTAGTTTAGGTTGCGGCTCTGATTAAAAGTATACGAGTCTTTACTGTTGTAGTAATGATGGAGTAGTATCATGTGGCAAATCAACTTAACTCAGCCTTAAGTTGAAGTTTGTGAATCAGCCAAATGTAAGTGACAATAAAAGAAATTAGGAAACAAATTCCAGTCACACAGATGTACCCCTCACCCCATCCACCCTCCCCCTCCTCACGTTGCCCCCCCTGTTGGAGTCTACCTGGGAATTTGTCAAACAAAACTTGATTAAATTTCACTTGTTACAGGGACAGTCGAGTTCTTTGCGTACATAATCGATGCTCTAGTCATTAGCCTCGTGTTCTACCCGATCCTGTTGTGCTTACAGACCCAATGGAGACTACTGGGAAACATCATTGGTTTGCTGTACTCCATCGCTTGGTAAAAAAAAAATCACAAATATTCCAGCCAGTTCACGATTTTCAAATTAGCAGTCGAACTTCAGCTACGGCTGTCAGTGGAAGCCTTTTTCTGACATTGAAGACCTTTTCGTGATCTACAAAAGAAAGCAAATCCTATTGTTTTTTAAATAGACCTTTGGATGCACATGTGCATTTTAATTTTTTTTTTTTGCAGGCTGATTTTCTACATTGGTAGCATTGTCGTGACGGCATTGTCTAGCAGAGCGCCTCCATTAGCTTCAGTTGCATTTTTCAAGATATTGCAGGTAAAACTTTTTGCATAGTTTGTCGCTATAATTTAGGCTTTCATGAAGAGCGTTGATGGACTGAGAGTATAACATAAATGGGTAGAATTAGTTATTCAGCTTAAACATTTTGGGGTGACGGTGCACAAACTTCACAACAAATGATACAAGTTGATTTGTATGCCTAAGAAGAGACATTATTTTGGTAAGTAAAAACCACCCAAAACACCTCTTGAAGATGTCACGATTTCTTTAAATCACCCTCCGTATGCAAGAAATATACGCATTCAGTTTCGTCCCTGACTTTCGTTATCTTCCCTTCCCTGATTTTTTTGTTGTTGACTTTTTGTTTCTGTCCATTGTCTTCATCTTCAAGGAATTCAACTTATTTGGATCAGGAGCGATATGTTTCTTTGCATTGGTAATGTTCTTCCTTGTTGGCCTAACGAAAGAAGTGAGGAACGGAATTAAACTGGTAAGTCTTGACAAACTTTAAGTATACTTTATCAAGATTTTAGAGTCAAGGAAACTAAGAATATGTCTCCAGAACAATACCTCTCCCTCCAATCAAATTTCCCCTTCGGGAAAGTGTTTTGAAAAACAGAGAGAAAATTAAATTGAATCATATTTACCTCCCTGCTTTGTTTAGTAAACAATTATTGGATTTTTAACATTTGTTATTAGATCAAATAATATCGTTAAATTTTCAATCTTTGTTCAAGGGTTTCATAAGAGACTATGACGCTTCTAAGGTGGACTTCAGTAAGACACATTTTTACCAAAGGGTAAAATTCATCTTGACACCGCCAGTACCAAAGAAGTAAGATGAACTTATATCAACACTCATTAAAAAAAATATTTCAAATATCAAGTACACAAGCTACGTGTGATTTGAATTAAACAACATTTTGTACAATAGTTTCTTTTAGTGTAAATAAATTTCCCAGATGCATTACTTCTCAATATGTTTGAATCAAAATTGATATGTAAATTGTGGACTTAATTTATATTTTTTTCCATTTGATTTAATATGGAAGTTAACATTTTGCTGTTTTCCTTCTTGAATGTAGAACAAGTGAAAACGTTATGGTGCGCTTGTTTCGGCAGTACGTGTACATTGGCACTGTGCCAGGTAAGATTTTCATTAAAGGACTTCTTCAACTTTGTAAATCCCCCCCCCCCACATTCCTTTTGTTTTAATTCTTAAAAAAAAAATCCAATTTCCAAATGAACTTCTCGTTTGAAAAGTTAAAAAAGGAGCTTGAAATTAACTTAATGTAAAGTCTACTTAACAATCAAGGGCGGATCCATGAGGGGCTGGGGCTGGGGGGGACGGGGGCGGTGCCTCCCCCCCCCCAAAAAAAAAATAACAGAAAGTGGCGTCGCAATAACGGCAGGCACTGCGTTCACCACCTTCTTTTCCTTAAAAAAAAAATGTGGTTAAAGTGGAAAGAAATTGCCTCAGATCACACCACAGAGCATCGATCTAGAGTTAAAAAAAAAATCGGGGCCCTTGAGCGGGCCCCGAACCCTACGCCCTAACGCCCAACTTTTTTTCAACCCCCCCCCCCACAAGAATTGTGTTTTGGATCCGCCCTTGTTCACAATCAAACCAGAACATTTGAACAATTGAAATCAAAATAATGCTACTTTTTATCTTATCTTTATTCGGTGTTCTTGATCCTACCTTTTTTGTCAGGATTTAGATTTTCACGTCGTAATATTTGCACCTTTGTACTGACTGTAGTGACGACCATTCAAGTAAGTTTGTTGCAACTATGGACCAGATATATTGAGTTTGTTGGAAGTGGGTTAGGGTGGAGGTATTTTACTTGCGTTATGATTTCATAAAAAAAAAATTCAGGATTGCAGTAACTATGCTTCGAAACCCTCCAAATTTATTGAGTTTAGAGTGTCAGGATTTCAAACAAAATCAACCAAAACACAGAAACGAACTATGAGTATTGGGAATTTAACAACAACTTTTGCAAGGTTGATTTTGTAATTGCATAATTGCTTTTTGTCCTGTTATCAGTGTTTTCAAACACCCACAAAGTAATTTTGTTTTAAAATTACCTTTTAATTGATATCTTTTGAAATTGTCAGTTTTGTAAACAAAACTCTGAGTTTTGCGTTCTCGCCTCTTTTTTGAGTTGTACATATATAGCCTAGTAAAGAATAGACGTTCACCACAGATAGTCATTTTTTCTCACTTTTCACAGATTGTCTTGATATGGATAGACGCATTTGGACTTCTATTGTCGATTCTGGATAAATCGTCCTTGTTGCCTTTATTACGCAAACACTATCCTGGACTTGATGAAGATATCAATAATGTAGAAAGTAAGTTTGGAACGAGCATGGTTGGTGGGGATTGCATAAGGGGTAGGGGGCTTAGACTGGAACTCTTCAAAAGATGGGTCAACGATTCCTTGGCCTTCTGGTTCTGTAAATATAGGATTGCCCAATTGACAAATAGTGGTCAGTGCTTTAGTATCAAAGGCCAAATTAGACTGAGGACCATTGCTTATCACTAATGTTTTAACTGTGGGAAAGCTTGCACCTTCATAAATTAAGTGTACAAATTTCTAGCTCATCCCTGATTTGGTATCTCTGCTAGAGGTTATGAAGTGCGTTTGCCATATAGGCCTAGAAGGCTTGGACTGAATAGGATAGACTACACTAGTCCAGCAAATAGTCGACTAGTGCTGGTTTGTGAAGATAGTGGAACTATATCAAGCCATTTGTTCCCAATTTACATATAACTTATGCCTTTTGACTGTTGGTCAATACTATTGCATTCCGGTGGGAACAGTACATCATATCCCGTTAACACAATCATCACAGACTATGTGAATTGTTTGTCATTTTCTGTCTATGTGTTTTGTCCCTTTTAGTTACCTTTTGGGTAACAAGTGCAGTGGCCGTCATTTTCACCGCAGTCTATACCCTTGATATGCAGCTACGGTATCGGTAAGTTTGGCTGTGTCACTAGAACGTGGCTTATTGTTACCAATAACACCTGCCCATAAAACACTCATGCACCAAAATTCATTGAACTGTACTAACTCGAGCTCCAAAATGACATTTTTACCTAAAAGAGAATGTATATTAAAAGAAATCCATGAAGAAATTGAACACAAATCAGTAACGTGCACGCGTTGTTCAGGATTTTCCTTATACATTTTTAAGGCTTATAATCTATCAGGATCAAGCCTTTTGATTGCAGAGAACACACTGTGAAGTTGTGGAAAGGTGACCGGTCATTTGTACCTGAAGGAAAATTGCTATTCAGTGAAACGCTGGTGAGTTGATTTGCAAATTGCAGCTTTATCAAGACTGCCAGTTGACATTCTCTCGAGACAAAACATGAAAGCTTTGGCCATTGTGCACCAATGCACAAACAGGCCAGAGTTTTCAGAAAGCATATTATTTAATATCGCATCTGTTTTTGTAACAGGTTGCAAGTTTAAGATACTCTGGCTATCATGTGGCATTCACCTTGTGGGGTAAGTTGGTTTTATTTTTAATGTAGGGATTCTTGTTTTAAAAGGGTTTGCACCAGACTCACACGAGGATGGGAGGGTGGAGAGAGGGGCGGGCAATGGAGAACTTCCTCCACCCATTTTGTTATCAATTTTGGCCCCTCGTTGGGAAAGATTTTCCGACCTGAAGATTTCAGACTGCACACATTTGTTTTCTTGTTTCAACTTTTAGCACAAATATCAAATTTTCATGATAACATGGAAATAAAACAATCCTGCACTTTCGCGTTTGAACTGATATATCAACCCCGCGTTGTCTTTGGCGGGCCCCATTTTATGGCATTATCAGCTTACCATAATGCAAGTTTCATTGCCACATTACCGCAGGATGTAATTCATTAAAGTTTCATTGTTGGCACTTGATGATTCTATAGGATTTATAATCGTGCAGCTTCTGCTGTGGCTCGTCTGGTCGTTCATCATTGTATTCTGGGATGAAGCCCGCTATCTCCTCGAAAAATATTGGTAAGTTGTTTGCGGGATGGATCCAGAATTTTTGTTTTCCTTCGTACATTAGTCAAGATGTCAAAACGAACCTATGTTTCATATGTTGCATTAAGTATATGCTGGAAGTTGCCATACTTGTCCAACTTGATTCTTTTTTCAAACTTTAACTTTTAATACCAGAACAAGAGCACTTGAAAATCAAAAAAAGGTGTCAGACCCCATGACTCCAACGTAAGTCTGCTCCTAGAATTAGTAAAAGCAAAGGTCTGACAAAAAAAACACCCTATATTGATAATGGACTTTCTTTGATTTTCAGGTTGACTCTTGGTGTCACCTTTGCTTTCTACTACGGTCAGGTCTACATCTCGCAAATCGTCTTCCTCCAGAGGGCACCAGACCTAGAGAAAAAGTCCGCATTTATCTGTTGGAAGCGGACTTCTTTTGGTTTGGATAACAGGTCAGAACTCAGCAGGTCCATCTTTGGGGTGATGGGGGGGGGGGGGGGTTTAAGAGGTTTTATTGCACCTTTTGGAACACATATATGCTATAAAAAAACCCAGCCTACAAAAGAGGCATCTGTATCTGTATGCTACTGCACAATCTACTGCAGGTAGGCCTACAGAAGGTTGAATTTTTAATTTCCATACGAGCAAGTGTGCCTGGAAGACTATACGTTGCACTTCGACAAGTTATCTCTCCAATAATTAAATATTACTCTATTACCAGAACCAACGCTTCTTCACGTAAAAGAAAGTGTCATCTGCAAACCACATTCTTGAATTCATTCCATCACTGTTTTCTGTTTCCATTAGACGTGTCTTTCACGTGACAGTTTACATCCTGATGTTCGTCAACTTCCTCCTTGGTATTGTGAGCTGCTTCGTACGTATCCTTAAAGCCCTTGCGTTTGGGACCCTCTACATCGGACGCTTGGACAGACTTCTACTGATGCGAGACTGGGAGACTTGGGACAGAGGTGGATATCTTCCAAGAATATCTGATTATTAAGTATTGGCTCCTCAACCGTTACTGACAGACATTGTTGGGGAGACCATGGGAGGGACATTTGAACACACCTGTCGCTCACGCAAAGTTTCTAGAGTTTGTGTGTCCATCCTACAAGTAAGGGGCTCTCAAAAATGTTCGCAAAGCAGAACAAACATCTTTGAAGTAAAGGTGTCTTAGGCCAAAAAAAAAAAGTCTCCGGTTTCTGGTATGCGCGCGCGTCGCCGTAGCCATGCGCGTCGACAAAATGAACAAGTTTTTTTTCAATGAAAGATGATGTCTCAAAACCGCCAAACTCACTGGTTTGACTGGAATCCTGCTGCTGCACAATTTTAACGTGTTTTTAGATGGGGTTACGATTGAGTATAAGCTTCATGTGGCCTCTCTGGGCTGCCATATATTTGCACTAAGTTTAGTCGGGCACCATTTGCAGTCATCAGCCGACATTTGAGGCAAAAGAAAATCAGGTAAAAAAAAAAAAAAGCCGCGTCGCCGCACCACTTTTTGGGCAAGCTCCATACCAGAAACCGGAGACTTTTTTTTTTTGGCCTTATCTGTGCTTACTGCTTTCTTTATGAAATGGACGCGTGAAAAATGTGTGTGCTAATTATTAGCAGCTCAATGAAATTTGACTGGAGTGGAGTCAAAATTGTCGAGAGAAAGTGGTGAAGAATTCTGTTTCCAAACCATTTTTGGCTCTTGACTGACTATCCCAAGTTATACTGATGAATGTCGTTGATCTACAAAATATGCAATTTCAATTTGGGCCGAATTTCATTAAGCTGTTTTAAAGTAGAAGAAATGAAATTTTGCTAAGAGCGGCAAAATATTTACTTTGCAAAAACAGGTTACCAGCCAAAAAGGCCATACAATGTGCAAGGATGGTAACTGGGGCTTAGCTGATTTTATCTGGGCACATATACTTGTTAAGCGTGTTATTCTGCTTAGGAAATACTTAACATTTGGGTCCGTGGCTTCGGGTGTTAACTTGGGGCTTTTTTTTGCAGGTTACACGGCCTACGTCGGCTTCCTTCAGCTGGAGGTTGCCCACACTCATCCAGTCCTCATCACCTTCTGTCATTTCCTTCAGAAGACCGTCAAGACTGACCAAGCTTCATCGCAGAAATACACAACCAAGGAATTGGTGTCTATTGTCAATTCACGTAAGTAAAGCTAAGCAAAGTTTATATTCAGGCACAGTCCTACACTGAAAAGTTTAGCAGGCTGATGAAAGATGAACTTTTCAACCATTAAACCTGATTTTCAAACATTTTGATTTGGGGGATATGTCAGCAAAGTAACAGGACGCTGAAAAGTATAATTTGAACGATTCTTGTACTAGAAGAAAGCTTTACTGACTGGGCTTTCATATCCTAGATTTTGAAAGTGCTACCGGCAAAACTTCATTCAAAAATTGGTCCTGCCACTTTGGTTTCTTTTCTTTTTTTACTCACCTTATTTGATTTTAATTCTGTTCATAGATTTGTATGAAAGTCGTTTAGAGCATCTCTGCTTTGAACTTTCATGCAGCTCTATATGAGTATGACCCTTGAGTAGCTCTTGCTGTTTAATCAGTCAAATTTTGATGAGTAAGTGCTTATTTGTGAACTGGACTCTGACATGCTTTTGCAGAGCTGGAAAGTGGATACGAGATGCCAGAAACAACAAACGGTAGATGCTACTCTCCTAGGGAGCCCTCTACCGGTCAGTTATCACGCCGCATGCGCAACAAGTGGCTGGTGGCGTTGACTCTGACACGCAACCCCAGTCTGGTGTCTGAACGCAAGGGGGCGCCGAAAGAAGCCAAACGGAAGAGAGCGGAGTCCACCGGCAGTCAAGATGTCTCAGGGAGAGGTAGGTTGTTTATACATCACAAACTTTTTGTATATTGTTTTCGATATGAGACAGGGAAACTGTAAGAAATGAGGCCTTTATTCGTGCAAAGGGTTTCCAAAATTCTACATACCTGTGGCTGTTTTCAAAGCAAGTATTCAACTTGAAAACTGATGGTCGTAAGAACAAGGTAATATATATATAATGATAATTGTTAATGTGTATAAGTTTGCATTTATTTATTACTGATTAAACTGTTTCTTCCAATTTGTCTACTTAGATCTGGTTATAAAGCGTGTTTTTTATTATAGTTTTCTCCGAGGCTTTTTACAAAACAAAACAAAAAAAGTTACCCCGGGTAGCGCTTCAATAGTATAACTTTCTAGTATTTTCTTTCTTCAACAGACGAACTCTTCTCTGGTAAAACTGAAGCGTAAACTGAAAAACATTAACGGAGGCTCAAGAAATGATGTGTTAGTGTTTGCTATAAAGTTGAATTGGTATTCAGTTTTTGGCTGAACCTTATTCAGCATATTCCGTGCTTGTTCATACCATAGCCGGCAGATAAGGGCAAGGGCAAGGGAATCACCCCTTTTGTTTGAAATATTTTCATTTGCCGGCCTACTTTTGGATTCTCCTGCTACAGAGAAATATGAACTGTGTCCTGTCATTTTCAGAAACGTTTGATCCGCTGCCAATGGTTAATACATAATATTTTGTGCTGCGATATGTTAAAATACATTCTTGAAAATAAAAAAATGAACATAATTTATTATGTACTAATTTATATTGTCATGAATAATGTAATAATATATTTATGTTGACACAAAAAAGTTGAAGTAAGTTAGTTTGAACTGAACTTTTGCGCAATGTGCTCAAGAATATACTGACAACTTTTTCTGTAATATATAATGTGGCTATTGCTATTTTTCAACTTATATTTAAAAAAAAAATCATTTTACATTTTAAACTTAATCTAAAAAGGTAATCTTGGTTCAATTTTATTGCAATTTTGTTATTGTACCAACTTTTTTGTATCCTGTTTATTAATTTTATGCTGTAATATTCATGTGCATATTTTGTTTAAGCAGAAATATAATGTTTTGAAATGAAAGTCAGCTTGTTGAGAATTGCAATTTTGTAATGTTTTTCATGGTTAACGGTTGTAAAACTTATTAATACAATTTATCTTTGAAGGCCCATTATGGTGGCTGCCATAATTAAACTTTATTGTTATAATTCTAGCTTGATGCTCATTTTTGATAAGAAAAGGAATCAAAATTTGCAATTTAATTTTTTTCTACATTTTTGTTTTGATGTAGTTTTAGTGTTCAATGTCATTTGTCGTTGCTTCGTGTTGCTTGTGTATTTTTGTCATCATGCAACCTGGATCTCAGAAAAGATATCTGAAAATTGCTGCAAATACCGTACCGCTAAAAAACCGTTTGTCTTTGCTCTTTGACACACATTGGAAAACCGGTCCAAATGTTAACTTTACAACCACAAAATAATACCCTTGCAATGAGTTTACCCTTTGTGAAATTCATGTCACCCCTCATAGAACGTGCCAAAAAATTGTAACCAATAAGATTCCACCAAATTCCACTACGCCTTCTCTTTTTTTCTCTCCGAAGAGAAACTTTGTTGAGGTAAATTTCCGTTGAATGCCTTTCATTTGCTATAGATCTTCCGTGCAGAAATGTGGGATGGATGGAGGTATTTCCCCCCCCCCCCAACTCCCCTTTTTTTTAAGGGTAGGCTCTCTCTTGATCTTCGGTAGAGGGCGCTGTTTTATAAACTTGTAAATTTCTGTCAGTGTCAAACACTGATTTACAAAAAATATAGTATGGAACGCCGTATTATCGCGGTACTTATCACGTTTCTCGTTCGGAATAGAGATTGCCCACTAACCTTCCAGAATTGTCCTGTCTTATGTGTAGTATAAGTCTTCCTTTTTAAATTAATATAAAAAAATCTGACGGGTAGTGTGGTTTATTCCGTGTACGATGCCTGTGAAAATAGACATGCGCGGCGTGTGCGAACGGAGGTGGACTCCCTATTATCGCGGTATGCGGGAAGTGGTTTTTATAATGATCCCAACTTTTTTGTTCATAGTTTATGTTTGACCAAAACACCCCCTGAATAAAGTCTGATATTTTCCCTGTAACATTCAAGTTGATTAAAGACAAAATGTCTGCAGGATGATTTCTTAAGACCCTGCCCTTCCCCCGAAAGGAGAACACAAATCCCTGAGGCAAGTCTACTGATCGGCGATTGAGGGCGCCATTCACTTTACACGGTGTGCCGTTTTATTTTCGCTAAGGCGCGGTGCTTATTTTGATCCCGTAAAAGTTGTTACGATTTCGCGCTGCAAATATTGTCGTTCGACTTCATTTTACATTTGCAGCTGAAGAATGGGAACCAGACAATGGAACTTTCATGGACAGAGCGCAATTAAAGATTTATGTTAAAATATAAACGGTACCTTTTAGCAGACACGGTGAGGGAACATTTTGCAAGTTTTGGAAAACGTTAATATTTATTAAAATCGTTAAAAGTCCCGAAAGACACAACATTTTTTAATCGTCCTTTTTATACAACTCCGTAGAAAATCCTTGATGACTGGTGAACTGGATAAAAATCGCCACTTGAAGGAGTTTTTAAACTGTAAAAAGAGAAATTTCCCATGCCGCGATAATAGGGATGCCGCGATAATAGGGAGTCCGACTATACGCGGAAGCATTACATTTTGTCTTTTTAGTCCATGCATGGTCTGGTCCATGCATCTGCATCTGGTGAAGTACTACTCATCACTCCTTGTTGCATTGCACTTGGAGTAAATTTTATATGTTCGCTTTAAATTAAGGCATGTGTATATTATTGGTCTTTTTATTCGTAAGTCATCTCGAACTCCGAGCAAGCACAGTCTCTGTCAATCATTGTCAAAAAGTAACTCGACCGGTTTCTTGGAAAATGCCTGGCCGTATCGGGTGACGTACTGACGTGCGTCAAGTGAAACAAACTCGTGACACCTGGATAACTGTTATTGCTGAACTTGCTGTTCTTCTTCACCGTTGGTCCTCAAATGCTGTACTCATCGTGGAATCTTGACACCATGGAGGATTATTTTGGGTAGGTTCTCGGTGTGGTATTAAATCCTTACTTTTTAGAAGTGAGAACCCCATTAATTTAAAAACAAAAAAATTATAAAAGACTCACCAAAACAACTGACTAAATGACACTCAAAAGTGACATTCTGGTATTTTTGACACATCTTAACGGTTGATAATTACACCTTGAATATTAGTTTTAATTTTGTGGGAAGAGGGCAGTTTGATTTATGAGCCAATGATGGGAAATTAAGGGGTAATACTATAATAGTATGTAAAAGATGACGATGGCAAACAGAAAACAATAACCAAGATGGCAAAGTGCTTTCAAAATGAGTTTTTCGGTTCACGTTCACAGTCGAATATAAACGGCTAATCTTTTTATCAAATTTCACAGTTTTAATAAATCTCTTTTGTTTGCCAAACAGAGAGGATGTCTCCAACATGACCACCCCAGCTCCCGTCAACCCAGTCTGTACTTACTTTGTACTCAGAGTATGGATGCTGTACAGCCTCATACCAGCTGTAAGATTGTTCTTCTGACTGTCTTGTTAACCCTCTTACTATTTAAACAGTCACACTCAGTCAAAATTTCCATCCACTTCCCCTGCTATACTTTTCAGCCAGGCTAGTCACAAGCAGTCAGATCATATGTCAAGCAAGCACTGTGTGAGCAGTCAAATTCAGTCAACATGGTCAACAGACCATGAACAGACAAAGCAGGCAAATTGTTGGCACAGCTGGTTTATTAATCAACCACAGTCAAGCAAAGTTGCAGCAAGTTACATAAATAGTCACAGCCAGTCAATCCTGCCTTATGTTGGGTGGGAACCCTTAACTGTTAAAAACAGTCACTTGACTGATTTTGACTGAAAGGACAACTTGGCACAGAATGTATGTTTGCAAAGGAGGGTGTCATCAAATTTGCTGCTACCCTTATTTTACCGCAGTGGGGAAAATACCACAAAATATTGAAATATTGTAAAAAGACGATAAACCAGTCTTCTTCACTATCTTGCTTTCTCTGCAAGAAAAGGATTATTAGTGTTAATGCTTCATTTACACTTTTTTTATGTTTCAGGTTGCCATTTTGATTCTGTTTTGTTTTCTGGAGAAACGTGTGCACTTATGGCCATCTTTTTGCGGAGGGCGACCAGGTGTTGCATTGTAAGTTTGTAGTGTGTAACACAAAATGCTTAACCTGAGCAACAGTGGATCCAGGGAGGAGGGGGGGGGGGGGGGTTGAGGTGTCAAAGCCCTCCCATCCTCCCCCTATCCCCCTATCCCCCCCCCCCCCATATCGGACTGACAAATGTTCACTATTCCACTATAGAAACATTTAAGTGTTAAATTCTACAGTACAAACTTCGACTGAGAACACGTATTTCTTTTGGACAAATAAAATAAACAATTGGAAAATGTCCAATGTCCAACTGTAATTCGGCCTTTGTGGATGATAATGTAACATCCACCCTGTTATTGTTACAGCCCAGTCAACCTGGTGGACAGCTACACTGACCGCTGGTCCTTTGCATTTGCCTTTGGCAGCATGTCGACCAGCATGGCAGAGGCCATTATTGGCAATCAGAACATACTACTGGGTGATTACGATTACAGCCAAATCACTCCAATGTTGCAAGGTATGTTTCAAATAGGGGTGTGCATTTACCTGTAGTATGGGAACCAGGTACTCAACTGAAAAAATCACGGGTACCATTCAAAGAATTCCAATTCCAAAATTCAAATTTCGGAAGTTGCTGTTAAGATCTTCATAAATAGCTTTACGGTGTAAATTGTAACTTTCCCCAGGCATGCAACTTTTCCTCGGATCCGCTGAATTCCTCGTTTTTATTTCTCTGGAATGCCATTACAAATTGAAAAAACACTGTACAAAGTCTTTTGTCGTTTTGAATTTCCTCGTTTTTTTCCTAAATTCCCAGTTGCATGCCTGTTTCCCGAGCATTATAATTCCCCATGTAGCCTGGCTTTCATTTTGAAAATTCCCCACAAATGACATTCAAAACCTTTCTTTTTTAATGTCGGAAAAGTTACTGAGTAATTTGTGAAGTTGGTTACTGGTGCTCGATTTCATAATCTGAAATGGGTTCCTGACATCAGTGGTCGGGACATCAACGGACTGTAGAATGCAACACATGAATTGAAAAACACAACCTGTGTTCAGAACTGCAGTGATGGAGGGGGAGGGGCATAGAGCATCTATCTCTGTTCATTCCTGTAAACAGTTGGGGGGGGGGGGCATCACAATGTATGATATTTAGAGAGTGTTGGAGTGAATGCCCTCTTGCCTTTACCCCTGCTGCTGTCTGTGATTTAGATATGTAACTATTTGTGATGCGATCAAGCTAAATGAGTCGTTTGTCGGGAACGTTCATTTGGAGATACAGGCCAAAATAGGGCCACTTCATCACATCACTTCATCACATCTCTTGGTGTTCCGACTTCCATAATTTTTGAACTAAAGATGGTACCAGCATGCGGTTTCACAGCAGTAATGCTGAGATTGTGCTCCTTTCAAATCTGTAAAAAAAAAAAATTGACCAGGGTTGACATCACATTTATGTTATCAACACTCTGATGACGTTGTTCTGTTTTTATGATACAGGGACTGTGCGGTTTTTAGTGGTCATAGTCAATGCACTCATCATCAGTGTGGTATTCTACCCAATCCTACTCTGTCTCCGATCCAAGAAGATTCTGGGTAACATCCTCGGTCTGATCTATTGCACGGCTTGGTAAGATTCAAAACAATCTTTTAGACTAGAATTGAGGTATTCTCCAGGACCAGAGCATGTTGACTGAAACTTCTCATTCATCTCACATGGCATGTATCTGTAAATTTCTCCCGAAGGCATAACTTTTTTTCTGGTTATTTTTTATTCTCACACAGGTTTGCATGTTACATGATGTCAGTTGCATTTCAGTGTGACCTCGTTGAAGGCGACGGAGCAGTATTCGCTGTCATAAGGGTAAATGCGGGAAGTTAACCTTTGACCTCTCACCCTTGCACCCCTGAATCTGACAAAACCTGACAAAAATTGTGTGCCGATTCAAGGAACAACAATATTTATACCCTTAAACTCTGAAAAGTGCAAAGCCTCGAGAAGCAGTAAATTATTAATGTCTGTAAGGGTTTTTGAAGAGTAGTAACAAACGGAAGCTGATTGGGTCTTGTGTACGACTTCACTAATTTCTTACTTTTTGTTGTCAACATCCAGGAATTTGGAAGCTATGGATCGGGGACAATCTGCTTCCTGGCATTGATGATCCGTTTTTTAATTGGCCTCGTTAAAAACATTACAGTGGTGAGTTTTAGAAATGCAGTGCTTTACCTCTGACCAAAAAGCTGTGGTCGACATTGTAATCAAGTGATATTTGCCATAACAAGTCCATCACAAGTCATCACAAGTCATCACAAGTCATCACACGTCATCACACGTCATCACACGTCATCCAGTCAAGTCACAAGCTATCGGGGATGTAGTCAAGTCTGTCACAAGTCCATCACAAGTCCAGTCACAAGTAAATCACAAATAAATCAGAAGCCCTGTCACAAGTCCAGTCACAAGTCCAGTCACAAGTCCAGTCACAAGTCCAGTCACAAGTCCAGTCACAAGTCAAGACACAAGTCTGTCACAAGTCCAGTCACAAGTAAATCACAAGTCTGTCACAAGTAAATTACAAGTCTGTCACACATCTAGTCACAAGTAAATCACAAGTCCATCACAAGTCCAGTCACAAGTCCAGTCATAAGTAAATCACAAGTCCAGTCACAAGTAAATCGCAAGTCAACTCGACCGTAAATCACAAGTCTAGTCACAAATCCGGTCAAAATAGCATTAAATATAATTGCATAAGGCCAAAAAAAAGGCTCTGGTTTCTGGTCTGCGTGCGCGGCGTTGTAGCCATGCACGTCGGCAAAATTTAAAAAGAAAAATTTCAATGTATGATGTCTTAAAACCACCAAATTCACTGGTTTGACTGGAATCCTGCTGCTGCACAATTTTAACGTGTTTTTAGATGGGGTTACGATTGAGTATAAGCTTTATGTGGCCTCTCTGGGCTCCCATTCATTTTGCACTAAATTTAGTCGGGCACCATTTGCAGTCATCAGCCAACATTTGAAGACAAAAAAGTAATAAAAAAAATTAAAAAAAGAAGCCGCGTCTCCGCACCACTTATGGGACAAGCTCCATACCAGAAACAAGAGACTTTTTTTTTGACTTGCATCCAGCTTAAAGCTTTTTCTTTTAATCACACACGTTTTCGTGGAAAAAAAAAACACAATTCATAAAGTGAAACCTCCTCTTTGTTAGTTTGCTGAAATCTATTTTGTATTTTTTTTCCCCAGCTACTGGATAAAAGAATGGATTCATCCAAGATAAAGGATTTCACGATGACGCACTTCTACCACAGGGTTCTGTTTCTCCTGACACCACCGACTCCAAAAGTGTAAGTGAAACTTGTTTAGTTTTAATTTTTGAATAAGCAGAAAAAAGTGTTGAGTAGATTAACATGCTAAGCTAGAATCAGCTTAAACAATTCAAAAGATATGGACTCACTGCTAAGCGTGTTGGAGAGCAGCCCAGGGACGTTTTGTTGTGTAACTTGTTTTCTTTTTAACTTTCTACTTCTTAAGAAATTTTATTTTCCATCGTTGCAGGAAGAGTACACATCTACTTGAGCGTTTATTCCAGCGTTTTATTGGCACTGTGCCAGGTACGTTACATAATACTTGCAGATTCAAATCCTGTCGTATGCAGCTTTCTTCTTTCAACAAAAATAAATGGTACAAAATGTTTTGTACGATGTAATTTGTCCTGCACCCAAATTTTAAAAGCACTCTTTACCCAGTGCTACCCAAAGCTTGCAGGAAAAAAATCACAAGCTTACTTTGGTGGAATTGTTCAGACGTCTGCACTGGTATTTACGTGGTCATGGGTTCAAGCCCCACACGAGGAATCTTGTGTTTTTTTTCTCATAACATCTCCGACTGCACTGGGTTTACATTGATTACAAAATTAAGTTGGTAAATTGGGACAAGCAAGATATTGCAATTGTACAAAGTCAGTTTCTTGCCAGTTTATTTGATAATTTCTCTTTCTCTATTTGTTTCTTCGCCTAGGTTTCAGATTTTCCCGTCACAATATTTGCACTCTCGTCCTGTCGCTAGTCACAACCACCCAGGTCAGTTCACGTCTGGAATATTTGTTTTCGCTAAACTTCTGACCGTATCCCAAGAAATGAGTCCCAGATTGTACAAATTCGTTGTTCACATCTATTTGTGAGAGCATAACCAGCCCTTCGTTTTGATTCGTCACAAAGGCCTAACACGGGGCATTCTGATTATTATTGGGGTTATATAATGAATAATGAAAGGTTTGCGGAAACACCATGTGTGAATAATTTCTCAACTAAGAGAATGGTTCTGAAAAGAACCAGAGGTATAAACTCGACGTTCCGGTCAGTATACTCTGACTGTCTTCAGGAGAGTGCCTAAACTCTAAGAATTATTACTTTATGTGGGACTTGACGCTGTTGGAAAGCTCTGCACATCAGCGGATTTGGGAGAATTGATGAAGGTTCCCTTGCACGTAATGCCTGGTAAATTAGGGTTAAAAAGAATAGTTTTGTAGTGAATCACGTATTTACTCAAATTTAAAAACAGGCATCTGATCCAAGGTAAAGGAGAAAAAAAGTCAAAAGCTGGCAGTTAACACGCCAGAAACAAGTATCATAAAAAAAAGGTGATTTGTTCATTTTTCCAAGGTTGCCTTGGTATGGACGGCCAAATTGGAATCACTTTTGTTCGAGTCAGGCGACCCGGATGATAAAACTCTGAGTAAGTGTTTGGACAGCTTCTAAAACTTTCAGTTCTTCTCCGTGTGTGTGTCACGATTTTAAACTTGTATGGGCTCCGTGCTCAAAGTACCCCCTCAACGGTAAGAAAGGGAGAGTTGGGGGAGACCACTGCGAGAGACAATGGAATGCATCGCTGATAGTTGACGCTCACGCGAAGACGTTTTGGCTTCGTGACAATTTAGAATAAAGTAAAATGTGCGTACTTTGAGCTATCCGCCCTAGAATCAGTACGCACACGGGTGTGTTCTGTCCACTAGGCTATTGAAAGTGGTAAAAAAAAGCGCCCTCTCTTGTCCATGCACGAAGCCCATTGTCGCGAGCTTTTTTCTCGGGATGGCTGTTTCAAATCATTTTCCGTCTATCCATTTTATTTAGCGTACACTCTTGGATGGCCAGGCGCTAGATGATTTTATAACCAAAGTGTTTGATATGACATATTTATTATTTTTTTCCCCTTCCCAACAGAGATTTGCTTTTGGATTACCTGTGTCGTTTCCTTGGTTTTAACCTTTGTCTTCACCATCGATATGCAACTACGTTACAGGTAATCAAGCATCAGAAATTATTTCCTTTTGAGTGAATTATAAAAAAAAACCAAAGAAAAGAAAAGATGAATGACTCTTTTGTGTAAACATAATAAAAACGTAAGATGTATGTTCTCAGTCATTCAGTAACATTAGATAAACTATCAATCGAATATTATTCTGGAACTGATGTTTTGCAACTTGCGACGTTGCGTCCTAAACCTTCTGACTTTGTCAGGGAAGTTATGACCCGGTGGGCTGGTCATCAGTTGCTTAACATCGGAAGTTGTAAAACATGAATTCCAGAATAAGATTCATTTGATATTTCGTTATAAAAGTTTGCTACTTTGCGTATTACTCTGTTGAATTCTGTGAATTATTATTTGTAAACCCCCCCTTCCCCTTCCCCAGGAGGCACACTTTAAAGTTGTGGAGAGGAGATCGTTCCTTCTGCCCCGAGAAGAAAGCCACATTTGATAATATGATGGTGAGTAACATACAAACCGTCAGAAGAATGTTTAAGCTTCTGTCTTTGAAGTGTACTGTTTCTTGCATGTCATGGTTGAACAGTGTTTTTAGAAACAAGGCAGAAAAACCATTGTGTTTTTACCCTCGACCCTTTGGGAATGAAAATCATCCAATTTTTTTTGGGGGGGGGGGATGGTTTAAAGAAGACATTCTTTTTCACGGAAAGATAAGTTGGTTTGGTTGTTAAGGTTTAAGGTCAAAGTTACTCTAAAGAGAAAAGAAAGTTACCAAAATGCCTAGAAGGTCTGTTGTCATGTCTTTAAATTTGACAAAGGGTCCCCCTTAAAAAAAAACCAACAATTTGGTTTTGAGGTTGAATCCCCTTGCCTCCTTAAAAGTATTAATACATTTTTTTACATAATTTGACAAACCTTTCTTTCAGTGCTGAAATATTTAACAATAAAGTCCATTTTGAAATTAACCATGTGTTTCTCTTTTCACACAAAGAGCTGAGTGGGTTTCAAAAGCATAGTTTGGTTTTTCAACTGTTTTTTGATTCTTGATTTCAAACCACAGGGCTCAAGTCTGTATTATACAGGATATCATGTAGCATTTACAGCATGGGGTGAGTACGGGGTTGTTTTTTTTATCTTCACAGTCAAAAGAGTCAAAAAATATAAATTTCCAACGATTTTGTTCAACAGTTTACTTCATGTTTTTTTAAACACCCATCTAGCTATGTTTATGGTATGTGCCTCATGCGAGTGTTACTAAAAATCTCCTTATATGGAAATTGGCACGTGTGTGGCACGTTGTGTGTGGCACGTTCTGTGTGATGTGGCGCAGAATGCAGCTGTGCTGGTGTAGTGTGAATTTAGGACTCTATGAAGTAAGGAAAGATAATTTGGAGAGTGACTGGTCCATGTGATGGTTCAACCAATAAAAGGGTCAAAGGGACCAGATTTCATTGGAGTCCAAATTTCATGTAACACTGGAAAAAAGTGTTTAGAACCAGTCAGTTTTCATAAACCGTTTAAAACCACCCAGGTAGCAGGCTCTCGACCAATAGGAATGGGTAAACAGTCTTAGGTATTTATGAATGACACTTTTGGTTCCAGGTTGACTGGGAAAGTGTGATTTCATTTTTGGGGGGGGGGGGGCTATTTAATTTTTCCACCAGATTTATTTTCCATTATTTCTCTTTTTAGGTCTCCATCCTTGGGATAGACTTCTTACTAAAACTCTTTCAATCAATGTTGGTCATTTGTCCCTTCAACTTTTTTTTTTTATTTCTAACTTGCTTTAGGATTTTTGGTGCTGCAAGTTTTACTGTGGGCCCTGGTATTCCTCATTATAACATTCAAAGACAAAGTCCTTCATTACATTAAACTTTACTGGTAAGTAAAAAAAATAACCACCAATTCTCAACTAAGTAGCATATTTATTTGTCATGATTACTAATAGGAACATGGTGGAAATTGGCCTGCATCTGTCCAAATTTCTTATATTTTTCTTTGTTTAAAATAACACAACTGCTAACAACTAATATTGAATGGATTTGACCAGAAGGAAAGAAACATTTTATTTAAAAACTTTTTTTTTATAAAAATAGAAAGTTAGAGGGCCATATGTTTCAATTACGGATATTACTAAAATGTAACATGGTTTGTTGCTTTTGAGAAACGTCCCACTGGGCTCCAAACGCCAGAACCTAAATTCAAAATTTTGTCTAATTTATTGATGTAACAGCATTGGCAGTCAAATGTACCTGACAGATTGGAAAAAATCTTTTACTCCACGACTCTTATACTAGTTCTTTAAATTATGTGTTGTACACATATCAAAGATTACAAACATCGATAAATCTGAAAATTAAAAGAAAAATTACCCCAATTTGTTTGTTTTTTTGCATTTTTTCCACAATGACTTGTGCCAAGTTCTGTCTCACAATGTAATACACTGTAGTACAGTTACTGATGGGTTATATATGTCACTCTGTACACAGGTTGACCATTATCATAACTGGAGCGTTCTACTACAGCCAGATCTTCCTGTCGCGGATCGTTTTCCTCCAGAGGGCGCCAGACAGGGAGCAGTCCAGAATTGTCCGCAGCAGCGACATCTACCTGGGTCTGGATAATAGGTTGGAAAAGAGTAATTATGTCGTAAATGTTTGAGATAGTAGAAAATAGTATTGAACTTACATCACCCCGACACCTATTCCATCTTATGAATAATCTCTGAGATTTGATATGCTCCATGACTTTCCTAACTTTTGTTTAATGTCAAGAACTGTTTTGATTTTGACAGACGCATCTTCCATGTCACCATCTACATCACGCTGTTCATCAACTTCTTAGTGGGTCTCCTCAGCTGTTTCTTTCGCATCTTCATAGCGATTGTTCTGGAGACGGTTTTCATCGGTCGTTTGGACCGTTGCACCCTGATGCGTGGCTGGGAATCCTGGGACCAAGGTGGGTGTCTTTCCCTGTGCAATTCCCCCTGTTAGCACTTTGCATTTTGAAGTATTGGCTGCCAGACAATTATTCCGTTTTCTCGAAAGCAGAGTTCTGCCGACTGTTAAAGGTACATGTATACAACATTTGTTTTTGCTGCAATTTTCAGAAATGGATTTGGTGGTTGGTATATTATAGCAAATATTGTTACACTGATCTGTTTATGAGTTTTCCGTTCATACTTTTGCTGGAAAAACCAAGAAAAAATGCTGCTCTTGTAGTCTGGTTCCCTGACCGTACTTCAGACGAAATGAAGCAATTTATAGACGTCAGGGTATCGTTAGGGCAAGGAACCAGACTAGCTTGCTTGCACCCATTCGCGGATGTGTAACCGATTGCAAACAAAATGTGGACTTAACTAAATTTGGTAAAATGAGGGCAGTATTTGAAAACAGTCAGTTTTTTCCAACAATGGTCGGCGGACCATCGTTGGAAATTGATACAGAAATTCCACTTTTCTTGAAAATGACAGCACACCAGGTGCTATGATTTCACAGGATGCTTGAGACTGTTATTCACTTACAGTCAAGTAAGGTATTTCATAATAATTTAGTAGTTTTGTTTTGTTTTTTGAAGTTGGCAAATGTTGTTTATTACCTTTAAGTCCTAATTCATGTTTACTGCATCTTGTAGGTTTCCGGTCTTATGTGGGGTTCTTAGAGTTGGAAGTCGCTCACACTCATCCAGTCGTCATCACCTTCTGTCATTTCATCTTGTTGGATTTACACAAGCGCAAGAGAAGACTGGAACACAGTGACTTGGCTGTGCTGATCAATAATGCAGGTATGAAGGCAGGCTGTAGATATAACAGGTGTTCCAATTAAAGGCCATTAGTGTAGGGGGGTGTGGCCTAGTGATCAGGGTGCGTGACTCATGATCAGAGGGTCGGGGTTCAAATCCAGCTGCTGGCCATGTGATGTGCCCGTGGGCAAGCCCCTTGGGCAGGCTATAGAATAATAGGTGATCAATAAGGAGCCATTAATGTAGGGGGAGTGTGGCCTAGTGGTTAGGGCTCGAAGCTCATGATCAGAGGGTCAGGGGTTCAAATCCATCTGCTGTACAAATGTTGTGTCCTTGGGCAAGCCCCTTTACCCCGACTTGCCTCTGTCCAGGAGTTTAAATAGGTATCGGCATTAACAGATTAAGTGTCGGCATTAGATTCACAAGCTTTTTCAGGAGGGACTCAGACCCGCAACTTCCTGCTTTTCAATTAGTGCAAATGTCAAAAGTATTCTCCATTATTGCTGGAGTCTGGTTCAAAGCCGATGTAGTAGTGAGTACCACGATTAATAGTCAATCGTACTCGCCAGCAAAATTCAACTCGACTTCATGAACGTTGCAGAAAATGGAAGTGCCGAAGAGGAAAGGCTCATAGGAAAAATCCCGGACTCTGGAGTAGCAGCAGCCAGCTGGCTCAAGTCAAGGCAGGTCCGTAACAAGTGGCTAGTAGCTCTGACCCTAGCACGGAACCCCGAGCTGGTGATAGGACGGAAACTGGCTCTACTGGAGGCCCAACACAGGCAGAGATCACGAAATAGCAGTTTGGGGGTCAGCCAGACAGGTAATTCCTCCTCCAAAACATATCCAAGGATTTTGAAAAAAGTGTGAATTCAAATTTCTTGGGTCACATTAAAGGATGCTGACCAGGAACAAGGTTCTTACTGCTATCCTGTTGTCATAAAACGGTGCAATCTTGGATTAAAATCTAGGCACAATTTGGAGCACATTGCGAGACAAACATACGTTGTCCCTCAAATTCCTAAAAAAAAATGTCATGTGCAATCATGTTGTGCAACAATGCTCTCGAATGTTGTTTTTGGCATTGTGATCTTGACAGGGCAGGTAAGATCTTCGAAACTCATGAAATGCAGACTGCATGAAGGAGTAAATTTATCATTACATTTGCAGTGTTGTAGTTGAGAGACCCCACAAGCCCAACCGAGCCCATCACAAGCCCATCACAAGACCATCACAAGACCATCTCTAGACCATCACAAGATCAACACAAGACCATCGCAAGACAATTACAAGACCATCACAAGACCATCTCTAGACCATCACAAGATCAACACAAGAGCATCGCAAGACAATCACAAAACCATCGCAAGACCATCACAAGACCATCGCAAGACCATAGCAAGACCATCGCAAGACCATCGCAAGACCATCGCAAGACCATCGCAAGACCATCACAGACCATTACAAGACCATCACAACACCATCACAACACCATCAAAAGTCCATCACAAGACCTCCATGCAGTCTCAATTCAATTAAGTCAAAAGTCATTCAAATGAACTGCAACAAAGGCATTCCTTTGTCATTGTTTGCGGTCTGTTACTTGTGGCTGGTCTTGTGAATGGTCTTGTGCTTGCTCTCTACTTTAATACATAATTGTTTCTTGTCGCCTTATGTAAATAAAAGAAGAAAGATTTAGTAGGTCTGGTAGACCTACTTTTAATTTTTTTTATTTTTTTTTTATGAAGTACCGAATATAATCCCGAAAATGTGAAATGTGTTTTGTTCCATTTAAGGAGAAATTGGAAGACAGTTTCCAATTTCTGCATGATTTAATTATTGATTGGATGGTCAGTTGGGAGAATCCGTTAGTGGAGTGTTAGTGTCTGTTTCTATGTACTAAAGTAGGAATTTTGTTTAAAGAACATTACAAGCCAAATAACTTGTAGCTTTATGTAAATGGTTGAAAAAACAAAAGTAAAAGTTAATGATGGAAGTCTGTAAGTGTTTTACAGCGGCATTTAATTGAGCTATCATTCAAAAGTTCTAAATCAAAAAAGCTTCCGCCCTCTGCAAACTGCTTAACGACTAGAGTAGAAATTACAGGGCCTGCTGTGTTGGTGCTAGTACGGACCAATCTTTCTCAACGGCAAAATGTAGTTAATGAAGTTTGCTTAAATATAACTTGTTCTTAAAGGGAATATACAACATTTGCAAACATCACAAAATAAAACTACCAAGTTTTTGCGAAATACCTTAATAGGATGTTGGTAAATGACAGTCTAAAGCATCCTGTAAAATTATGGCACCTGGTATACTGTCATTTTCAAGAAAAGTGGTATTTTTGTATCAATTTCCAACGCTGATCGGCCAATCAGCGTTGGAAACAACTGGCTTTTTTTTTCAAATACTGGCCCCAATTGACCATTGCTCTTGTTTGCAATCGATTACAAACCTATGAACGGGTACGAGCCAGCTAGACTGGTTCCCTGACCTTACAATTCCCCAATGTATGTAAACTGCTCTGTTTCTTCTTATATGGAGTCAGGGAACCAGACTACAGGAAAATGATCGTTTTTCTTGGTTTTTATAGCATTTTCGAACCCAAAACCTCCAAAAAGTCAGTGTAACTATATTTGCTTTATATTTCCAACCCCCCAATTCCATCCATTTCTGAAAATTACAGCAAAAGCAAATGATGTATATTCCCTTTAATAGAAAATGTTACTCTGAAATAAATCCATGTGTTCAGCAGCTAGGTTTGTGGCCTGTTACTTGTTAGAAAATAGTGAGCTATATTTCTGTGTTTCATTTGCTCTTATACATTGACTAATAATCAGTTTCATGCATCGTTATTGGAGAAAAAAATGCTTTATGAGTTCTATGTAATGACGGCAGATGTATTTTATATTAAATTGATTAATGATTAGATGTGAGTGACATGTTTTTGTGGAAACAGGTTACTGCTGGTCTCACCAAAAAAAACCCCAGATCTATAGATATATTTTTTTAGATGGAATTATTTCAATTGCACAGATATGCTATATTCATATATTTTACTGGGTTTTGTTTGTATTTGTGTAGGAATCATTCAAAGGAATTTTTAAAAAGCCAAAGAAATCCTACAGTTAATTTTCATTTAATGATTAAAAACATGTACCAGATTCATCTCTTAATTCCTTTTTATTTTTGAAGAATTTATAAGATGAGCTAAAACGTGCCGTTTTTAAAAATCCTTTTGCAAATAAAAATATATATTATCAGATCTGACTTTTGTTTTGTGTTTGAGTTATTGAAATTTGCAAATTTATGTCAGTAAAAAAAATAATTCTCCCTTATTTGGAGGATGAATTGAAAATAAAGTAATTCTTTATAATAATATATCCCTTGTATTCAAGAAGGTGTCAACTTGGGTGTGTTTTGTACACTTTGACTTAAAACACTCATTAATTTGAAATTGTTACACTTGATACATTTAACAGGTGTTGAGGAACCTGATTTTCAAATAAGTCTGATATGTTTTTGAAATGTTTAGAATATAAAAAAAAATCTGGAATATAAATCCCTTTAAAAAAACACACAAAAAAACCCCCATACTTTTCCCTTATGATGGGGGCGCCCATTTTCTGGGGCGCTCATGGGTTTGGTAGGGGTTCCAAACTGGGGGTGAGGGCCGCTCGAGGTCCTTCCCCCCCCCCCCCCCCCCCCCCCCACCAACTTCAGATGGGAGAAGGGGGGGGGGGTCTACAAACTTTGGTTGGCAAGTCGTGCGGTTGCGTAATACATAACGCATGTGCAGCGCTTGCAGCACGAACGCACTGATGATGATGTAATGCGCATGTTTACTACTTGCTTACATACAGCAGTACACATGTGACTCAGCGTTTGCGAGGCGTGAAAGTGAAGGGAAAATGGCGGATCGCAAGCAGATAGTTTTGCCCACAATTAGCTCGCTGACTAACGTCCCAACGGGACTGAAGTATCTGACACTGCCGGAGGGGATACTGGAGATCATCGAAGTGGTAAACTTGTCATTTGTTTTGGTTTAGAAGGAAAGTTATTTGGTCGGATGACCTGGCTTCGCTGCATCGGTTTCAGCCCCACTGCTACTGCTAGCGTCAGTGACCCGGATACAGCTTCGATTTTCCGGGCTACAGTTCGAGTGGGACTGGCCGGTTCATCAACAGCTTCGCGTGTGTGCTGTTTAAACTGCCCTGTAGGGGCATGGGGTTAGACATGTTCGGATGTAGCCTATTCTTTCCTTTGTGGATGCACCATCAATTGCTGGTTAATTCATAATACTACAGTAAGGGGTAAATATCATCACGGAAAAATGGTCCCTCAATAATTTATCCAAACTGCAAACAGAATATTGATCAGTGGGGCATACAGAAATTTAACAATAAATAAAACGTTTGAGGGCCTGAGGAACAGATGTGTTGATCCCAAAGTTGTCTTTGAAATATTCTGTTAGTGTTAGGTAATACATGGGACAGAATGTTGCAACCTGACGCTGCTTTTTTTCTTCATAATTCATCTCATAGAATAGAATTACATTGTACACTGTAACCTCTAAACCCCACCCCAAACTCCCAGTATAAAAGCCTATAAAACTAAAAAGGCATCCATTTTCAGTCATATGATGCTGTCAGTGTCAGCCACGCATTGCACTTTTAGGGTCAAAGGTACGGTAAAACAATGAGTTTCAATTACAAGCGTGACAGCCAGTTGTGATATATTTAACAGTTGTTGACTACAGGAATGTGGGGTATGACGTTTTTAACACCAGCATGACCAGAGGGGCACGGCGCATAGCACCTGAGTCAAGGCGAAGCCGAGGGTGCTATGTGCAAGGCCTTAGTGTGTGACTTACATTTCTATTGTCCAGACGCGTGGCCGTCCTAGACCAATGAAATTACAGTATCCAAGCATATGATTTAACAAACTTTTTTGTAATTGTGAATATGAAATCTTGAATCACAAATCAGTCAATTTGTTTGAGAAAAATCATTTTAATGTGAAGTATTATTTTTAAGTCAAAACAAATCACTTTATAGTTTTTCCTCAACAACTGTTGCCAGACTCGATATAATTTGATTAAGAGGTGGCGACAAATTTACCCTCATAACCACAGTAATTTTATGTTGCGTCTCTTAGTCATATAATAAGATCTCTGATGTAACTCACCTCAATGCTGTTGCAAAGCCAGAGTTTGCGGAAGATTATCAGAGCAAATATATAGATAAAAATAATTCGGAGAAAATCTGACATAATCCTCTGCCCTAGATTAGATAATGTGGCCCCAGTTTTTATTAATAATGCACAAATGTTTATTCAACAAGCAGAAGTTTGTACAACTTGACTTAACTTTGAATTGTGCCATCTTGCAAAGAATCAGCCCAATTGTTCCAGCCCAAAAAAGAAAAACATTGTGTCAGAATTAGATATTTCATCAGTACTGCTTTAGTATTTGCCATTTGTGCATGACAGTAAAAGGCAGGGGTGAGATTTGCCGAATTTTGCAAGATTTGTGGATTTTAGAAAAGTGTAAATGAGTGTTCTCATCACTTTTTTTTGTCAATGGCTTAGCATTGGGCAGTTTTTAGAAGTATCTTTTTAGGCAAATACATAAATGTTCCGTAGCAAGACCCAGAGTTGCTGAAGTGCTCATTTTTTTTTTATTTCCCCTAAATGTCACTTCTGGAATAGCCATATCCATAAAAAACATTGCCATTTTTGGATGGTCTAATTTTGTGTGACCGAGACCCAGAACTATTATCAATCTTACAGGAACTCATTGAAACAGTGGTATCACTTTACAGACCAGTCTCATTAAGACTAGCAGTTTCCTTCAGAGACTAATCAGCAAAAGATGACTCTGATGGCTTAGACAGTGCACGTGCGTGATTGCACTTTGCATTTATTGAAAGCAGAGAGTGTCCAGGAGGCTGTGATGGGAAATTGGTCTGTCGAACATAAATGAGCTGCATCAAAATAGGAAGAGGGGCTTATCTAGTGTTTCAAACAATCTTGCCTGAAATGCCACTTGTTCTATTTTGTAGTCTTATTTTAGATAAAATATGAAGTTTGATGGTTTGTTCCTTCATTGGGAAAAAGTCCTTTAAGAATCCAGTTTTATTGGGTTTGCCTAAATTGTTGTCCTAAGGACTCCTGACAAATTTACTTCATTAGAAATGGCGGATGAAACTGGAAAAGAATTTCAGTTAAAAATCACGGACCAGCCTTAACTTGTTTACTGTGTAAAACTCTCTCAGAGCAAACAAAACTGCACAAATTAAAGGGAATATACATCATTTGCTTTTGCTGTAATTTTCAGAAATGGATGGAATTGGGGGGTTGGAAATATAAAGCAAATATAGTTACACTGACTTTTTGGAGGTTTTGGGTTCGAAAATGCTATAAAAACCAAGAAAAACGATCATTTTCCTGTAGTCTGGTTCCCTGACTCCATATAAGAAGAAACAGAGCAGTTTACATACATTGGGGAATTGTAAGGTCAGGGAACCAGTCTAGCTGGCTCGTACCCGTTCATAGGTTTGTAATCGATTGCAAACAAGTGCAATGGTCAATTGGGGCCAGTATTTGAAAAAAAGCCAGTTGTTTCCAACGCTGATCGGCCGATCAGCGTTGGAAATTGATATAAAAATACAACTTTTCTTGAAAATGACAGTATACCAGGTGCCATAATTTTACAGGATGCTTTAGACTGTCATTTACCAACATCCTATTAAGGTATTTCGCAAAAACTTGGTAGTTTTACTTTTCGATGTTTGCAAATGTTGTATATTCCCTTTAAACTAACTCTCTTGATAACATAATTCAGGAAAAGAAAATCACCTTTCCTTAGAATTCCATGACAAACAAGAAAAAAAAAACACTCAATAAGTATGTAAACGTTAGCACAGATATGCACAAACCCTAAAGTCTTAAAATGTTGGGATTATTATTATTATTTTTTTGTTTTGAGTCTCCAGCTAAAGCGACAGTGGAATGTGCAAGCAGTGGTGACCTTGGACACCCTCTCAAAAGAGTTTGTGAAAATTGGGTGGGGGGAACCTATTCACTATTTTGCCAAAGGGAGCAACATGTCAATATGTAGAGTCAAAATCACAAGTGGTGCCATTCCATTCAATGTAAATCTGGTCGCCTGTTGACCTTATGAATGGGTAGTCGGAAGGCGAGCATATTTTGCTGTCTGCTTGTTGAGATCACGTTTATAGCTCCATGTTGAGATGAACACAGGCCATATGTTGAGTTGAAGTGAATTTATTGTTATATACTCTACCGTATGTTTGTGGATCTTCAACATTGACAGAAAAATCACGGAAAGCAATTTATCTTTTTAATTGCATGTCAAATAAAAATATGGGTTTACATGTGTATGCATTGTGCACGTGTGCACCAGGTTTAGGAGAAAATTATCGATTGGTATTGTAACGAAATTGGCCTGAGTGCTTGTAGCTTTCGCGCGTCATAGCGCTGAGGCGTGCCATACTTGCTGAGCATGCGCAGTGGGCTGCTTAGGTGACCTTGAGCTGTTTGCGCGCGCTGTGCCTCGTGTGTGTACGTGGCGGGAGTTGCTGTGGAGCTAGCGGACTGAAGAGACGTGTGACGGCGGAGCTCTAAGAGAGTTGTTGTAGGGCGCTAGGCTTGTGTGCGTCAGCGTTGCTGTTGGTGTGTAGTGGGAGCTGGTAGCAGCGAGGCGGAGCGGTATAGCGACCGACCGCCGGATCCCAGAGCAGCGTGAGAGAGGCTGATCGGAGTGTCCGAGACAGCGGGACTGTCGGAGCCGTGTCAGAGAGTCCGTGGCGGCGGCGGTTTGCCGAATCTAGTTGCAGCAGCTCATAGCGCGGGGTATGTCAAGCTGACGTATTTGATAAAGTTAGTGACGAGCACAGTTCAGGACCGATATTGTTGAACCTCCCCACAAGTTATCACATTCAGTAATAATTTCTATTAAGTGCCTTCAGTAATAAACCTCTCTATCAGTAATTCTAAGGCTCAGTAGGAAACTCGATTATATCCCTTTAGGATACAGGAAACCCTTAAGGAACCTCAAGGCAATACCTTAAGGAACAGCAATCCCTTAAGGAATCTGCTACTTAACTGAAGTGATAAGGCGTCTTAGTTATAATAAAGGGAAAACCCCGCGGCTCTTGAGTGATCTCTCTTTGTCAGATTATTGGGTTCCTGCGCTGCTCTGCCTGGTATTTATCTCCGCTCCATAGGGTCCCCGGGAAAAAGTGTTGCGCGCGGCGATATATGGTTGCCAAACGACCTCCCCCACAGTGCTGTAGGGCTGCCGCTCGCCTGTGCAGTACCGAGTCAAACTTGACCCGGACGGGATTCGCCACAGTATATTATTCATACGTGTACTAAAGTGGCATTATGTAAATACAAATTATTTTTGAGTTACCTTGAAAATATTTTTCAGTTTCATTCAAAATGAATGTTATTAGTTAGTTTGTCTGTGCATAATTAAAAAAAATACTGGTTGAAATACATGCAGTGTAAATTGGCAATTATATTTAACCTTGCATTGTAATTGTCTTAATTGGTGAAAAATAGCCTAATGATTGGAAAAAAGATTAAGACTCTATTAGTATCCATGAGACAATAGCAGATGCTCATATCTGATGATTCTTTGCCCCAAAATTTGTTCGATTTAAAAAAAAAAAACCATGATAACAAAAAATGGAAGGCCATGCATACTGGTATCAAATATCCATAGGCATTGGTACTACAAAGTTTTTTTTTTAATCCTCCCAGATCTGTGCAGGAATGCAGTAACACATTTTGTTGTATTTGAAAATTTCTTTATTAAAAAAAACAATGAAAATTGTTGTCCCTTCTTCATTACTGCAAAATCCTCCCAAATCTTCCAATTTTGAAAGATCTTGGATGAACTTGGGGAGCTAGTCTGGCCGTGTCAAAATCGCTTGGCTACCTCATACTTCAAAAATTCTTTTAAAAAAACCCCTCATAACTCTCACAGGTGTTCAGGCTGCACAGGAAAATTGTTGTTTGAAATGTTTTTTAGAACTCTGATGAATTGAAAAAAATGTTGCCCTAAACTTTCGCCGCAGAAAAATATATTGTTTTTTAATTTAATTTTTGTTGGGGGGGGGGGGAGGACTATTTTGACCTTGGGGGCACCATTTCCACCCCTATTCCACGGCTCTCTCTCTAATATAGAATAACTGGAATGTATAACAATTATTCATGAGCTCGGCAGACGGATTTTGGCCTATTTACTTGGTTGCACCCCTGCAAGCCTCTGAAGCCCGGTTCATACTCTGCGCAAAGTGAAAGTGAACGCGAAACATATTTCAACTCGGGCAAATTTTGTTGCGAATGTTTCATGATGTCAAATTCGCTTCGCATGAAGTATGAACTGGGCTTGACTCTGTCTACAAATGGAGATAGGCTTTGATAAATCACAGTCTGTCCTGCTTTTCTCATTCCTTTCCAGGCATGCTTGATGATTGCCTTCGTCTGTGTGACTGCCGCTCCCAATAAATCCCCCGATGAGTCTTCCTATTGGCACTACCAGGCAGCAACTATGGGCTTCGGTCTGGTGACTGTACTCATCATGATTGGATACATGACGGGAGTGGTGCACAAGATCAAAATACCATGGAGTGTCCTGGTGAGTCGTGCTGCAGAGGCATCGTTCATCCTCTGTTATTATATAACTCACATATATCTCCTTGTCATTTGATTGGTGGAACTCACATCACGTGACATTCGGTATTGCTCCCACTTACGCCGGGGCTCAAAAAGTCCCATTCGCCCATGGGGAATGGGAAATACTATTCAACAGTTAGGATCATTCTTGTTCCATGACGCGATATTTGTGTGCAAATGCATGCTGGTGTGTGGGTTCAGCGTTGCGCTAAATAGTGCGTTTTGTTCCAAAGAGCCAGCGCTACAGAGTTGGGTTCAAACATTTTCGTGAAATGGTGGTTTGGAAGAGAGAAATACATTTTCCACCAATTTTATATTGAAAAAAAGTTCAAATATATCAAATGACAAGGATCTATATGTCAGTTATATAAAACAAATATTGAGTGGCTTTATATTGTGAAATGGGAGGAATATTATCGTTCGGTAAACTCTGGACTTTTCCAGTTCGCTCAACTTCATCTCATGAAATGGAAAAGTCCAGATTTTACCTTGCGATAATATTCCTCCCATTTCACGCTGAGCCACTCAATATTTGTATACTAGTGACCTGCATTTAAGTTTTTGATTTGACTTGTTATTGACTTATGATCGTCTTGTTCGAGATTGTCTTTGTCCTGTTCAGTACAACCTCTCAATGCAAATTTCTATCTCTGTACTTGTTTACTCTCTTCAGGAGATTGTATACTGCGCTGCAGCTGGTCTTCTTATACTCACCACCGGTGCTCACATTGCAGCCAACACATTTGGGAACGCTGCCCTCATTGTAGCTACTGTAAGTGGATAGGGTCACCAGGGGTCAACTCGTTAATTGGGGGGGGGGGGGCACTCAATATTATTTGACAATGGAGGCAGTTTTCAAAACAATTCACATGATTGTATGACCTCAATTCCTCAATCCTGCAAAATCCTCTGTTATTTCTTGAATGTGATCCTTGGAAGGGTGACCACTGCCTCGATCCTGCAAAATCCTCCGGCGATCAGTGTCAATATGTTGAGGCAGAGCCAGTGACATCCTGGAGCAGTGCGGAGGATTTCAATTATAATCTAGGCTTAATTTTTGCACGGCTAAACCAAAGACCTTGACACAGTGCATCCTCCAAAATCAGCCACATATTTTTGCCATATGCCTCAATCCTACAAACTCCTACATTTCGCAGGATTTGGGAGGATTTTGGAAGGTTGGGGTTAATAAATTTTGGTGGTGTAAGTCTGTCAATCAGGCTTGACCTAATTCCAGTTATTAGTATGACAAATGTGCACGGTAGATGGTCAAATTTCTATCTGCCAATTAATTCCACAAGTGGTTAGTAGATTGGAAGATGACGTCTTGTACAACAGAAAGCTTAATTGTAATTGTCACTAATGGCAGCCTGTAATTGAGTTGTAGAAAAAATTGAAAAGGATACTGGGTTAATGTTTACACCGACCTTCAGCGTAGGTAATCGGTTTTTCAAACTGTCGATTTATTGATGGGTTGAGGAGAAATTTTAATTGGCAATTTCTCCAGCCAGCATGCACGGACAAAAGCCTGTATTTACATGGTTAGACTTTGTTTTCAGGATTCCAAATAATAGTGATTATTGCTGTCACTCATACAGAGGGCAGCTAAACAGCTTACTTTGTCCGTGGCAACACGTCACGTCAGTATCCATGGCAACGGGTCCAGCATCAAAATTTTGAGCAGAGGTCCACCAGGTTGTGTGCTTGGTTTTTGCTGTTCTTACTGAATCAGTCCACTGAAGCAGTTTATCTGGCTGTTAGTGTTGTTTCATGGGGCCCTGTTGGTGACTGAGACCGGGACTGCTTTGGTGTGTTTTGAGCTACGTCAGACTTGAAAGTCACATTTGCGTATTGCGGAGTAAGCAAGTTGTGCTGTTGTTCTGGATGTGAAGAATTAGTGTTGTCGGAAAGGAGTGTAATAAAAAATCTTGGTTTGTTGCTGCGTGCCCGGTAGTATTTACAGACAGTACGGACCCATCTTTCAGTGGGCATTGGTTGATGTTTGAGACTTTTTGCTTGGACACTTGCTTCTGTTCATTTGCTCTTATTCATTACGTGATCTTTCTGTGGATATTGGCAGATATTCTCTCATTGTAGACTCCATTGGGAAAATTAAAAATGAAGCTGCTTGGAAATATTTCACGCGGATCGTTATCATTTGGAAATGGACAGATGCGTAACTTTTCTGAAGAAAGTCCCCATTTTTTAACGATTGGCTCGGACAATTTGGAAATGAACAACGGCCTAACTTCTCCGATGAAGGCGCCCAGTCTTGGAAGGATAAGAAGTTAGCTTTTTTGAATGGACAAGGCCGTAACTTTTCAGTATGTGAAAACTGGCAGGATGGCAATGGTTCCTGGTTGGGGCAAGGGTCTACTCGCCCATTACCCATTGATCCTGAAACTCTGACTGCCATTAAGTATGCCTTGATACTGCCTTTATCAATTCTCCTAGTAGCCATTGATCTGTACATTATTTTGGCCATTTGTCGCAACCGCAACCTGCGCAGCATCTCTAACTATTTCCTGGCTAACTTGCTCGCCAGTGAACTCATATTCATACTTGTGATTTTCTTTAACAATCACCTGCTTTTATCGCGAGCAGGTTGCGATCAATGTGATGATATATACCTGTACGTCTTTGTTGTGACCAGCATGCATCTGCTCTACTTTCTGTGTGGAATCTGCGTTGCTGTCGACAAGTACATTAAGATCACTCGTCCTCTGAGGTACACACTGATGGTAACCAAAAGAATTTGCGTCACATTTGTCATCGTTGTGTGGGTCCTAGCATTTGCTGGTGGTGGTCTGGCATTGGTACTGTTTCAAAATCTAGTGGGATGCAGTAACCCTAAGGATCTACGGATTGACCTTCAGAAGACAATTCTTATTCTCTCTGATGGAGTTGTCTTGCCGATGCTGATGATCATCATGGGTCTAAATATGAAGATAATCTGTATCGCCAGGCATCAAGCGCGAGCGATAGCCAACATGGCTCCACAGCACCATGCCAATTCCGACAACCGTAACGACACCAGCGACCAGCAACAACAAGCTGTCCGCAAGAGTACCCGATACTTCAAGGCTTTCCTCTGGTCCTTTGTTCTGGTTTGGGTGCCCCCAATCCTAATCGAAAACATCTCCTACATCTTGCCATTCTCCAGAGGGAACCTGTCTTGGTTCATTGGGATTAGATGTGGCATGAACGTCCTGGGGTTGTGTCAGATGCTCTATGGTACGGTCGTTCTTACCTTGAAGCAAGAACAATTCAGAGAGTTGTGGAGAGGCCACTGGCAAACAATCAAGCAGAAACTCCACATCTAAGGTGTCATTCTCATCTATGCTAACAAGGTAAAGCAACTTGAGTTAAATGTATAAAGGGGTCTTCCATCAACTCTGTGCTGTTATTCCATTTAGGGTAGATTTTTCTCACAGAAAATCGCTTGATGTTGACTCACTAAACAACAAAAAAAGGCTAACAAAATAAAATCTGTTGGTTTGGCAATAAGTGTTTTATCGGCAACTCACAAAAACTTTAATACCTTGCATTCTAAAATGTTCTCATACTTTTCACTGTTGAAAGAATCATTTTACTGCCCTTAGTAGTATTCTGTGCAACAAGACCCTTCTTAATATATTTCAGTGGCGTGAGTCTGTTATTACTGTTCTCAATCACAATTGACCTAATTCTGGTTCATGACAAACATGCATGGTACCGCGCCGGTACAAATACATGTAGATGCTCGAATTTCAAATTGTCAATTTCGCAAGCGGTAAGTAGATTGGAAGATGACGTCTTATACAACAAAAGGCTTAATTGTAATTGTCATTAATGGCAGCCTGTAATTAAGTTGTCAAAAAATTGAAAGGGATATGTGGTTAATGTTTGCACCGACCTTCAGTGTAGGTAATCGGTTTTTCAAACTGTCGACGGATAGATGGGTTGAAGAGAAATTTTATTGGCAATTTCTCCAGCCAGCATGCATCGACAAAAAACCCTGTATTTACGGCAACTTAACTGCTTACTTTGTCTGTGGCAACACGTCAATAATGAACTGAGAGGCTTAATTTATCCATGGCAACGGGTCCAGCATCAATGGTTGGCCTGTTTTCTCAAGCCAGAGCGGTGGTGCGGTGATTTTAGGTCGGTTAGTTGCTGTTCTTACCCAATCAGTCCAGTGCTGTGATACATCGGGCAGTTTTTGCTGTTCACTGAGGGCCAGCCGAGCGTTCTCTTTGCATCTTTCACACTGACTGACCGTCACTTGTGACTTAAACAGGGACTGCCTAGTTGTGTTTTGAGCTACGTCAGACTTGAACATCATATTTGTGTATTGCTGAGTTAGCAAATTGTGCTGCCATTCTGGATGTAGAGAGAGAAGTTTTAGCCAAAAGGAGTGTTTAAACAAACTGTTTGTAGTGCGCATCCTGCAGCACTTGCACACAGTACGGACTCATATTTCAGTGGGCTTTGGCTGATGTTTGATGCTTTTACATTGGATACTTGCTGCATCTTGTTAGCTGTTGATAATTACGTGATCTTTCTGTGAAGTGTTTTGTGTAACAATTGGGGAATTTGAAAATGGAGCTGCACCATAACTTTTCAGAATGTGGCAATAGTTCCTCATCGGAGCAAGGGGCTTCTCCCCAATTCAGTCTTCAAATCCTGACTATCATTAAGTATGCCTTGATACTGCCTTTATCAATTCTCCTAGTAGCCATTGATCTGTACATTATCTTGGCCATTTGTCGCAACCGCAACCTGCGCAGTGTCTCCAACTATTTCCTGGCTAACTTGCTCGCCAGTGAACTCATATACATACTTGTGATTTTCTTTAACAATCACCTGCTTTTATCGCAAGCAGGTTGCGATCAATGTGATGATATATACCTGTTTGTCTTTGTTGTGACCAGCATACACCTGCTTTACTTTCTGTGTGGTATCTGCTTTGCCGTCGACAAGTACATCAAGATCACTCGTCCTCTGAGGTACACACAGCTGATAACCAATAGGATTTGCATCACATTTGTCGGCGTTGCGTGGGTCCTAGCATTTGCTGCTGGTGGTCTGGCATTAGTACTGTTTCAAAATTTAGTGGGATGCAAAAACCTTGAGGGTATACGCTTTCAGCTTCAGGAGGCAAATCTTATTCTCTCCGATGGAGTTGTCTTCCCAATGCTGATGATCATCATGGGTCTAAACATGAAGATAATCTGTATCGCCAGGCATCAAGCACGAGCGATAGCCATCATGGCTCCACAGCACCATGCCAATTCCGACAACCGTAACGACACCAGCGACCAGCAACAACAAGCTGTCCGCAAGAGTACCCGATACTTCAAGGCTTTCCTCTGGTCCTTTGTTCTGGTTTGGGTGCCCCCAATCCTAATCGAAAACATTTCCTACATTTTGCCGTACTCCAAAGGTAATCTGCTTTGGTTCATTGGAATCAGAAATGCCATGAATGTCCTGGGGTTGTGTCAGATGCTCTATGGAACAGTCGTTCTTACCTTGAAGCAAGAACAATTCAGAGAGTTGTGGAGAGGCCACTGGCAAACAATCAAGCAGAAACTCCACATCTAAGGTATCATTCTCATCTATGTTAACAAGGTAAAACAACTTGAGTTAAATGTATAAAGGGGTCTTCCATCAAGTCTGTGCTGTTATTCCATTTAGGGTGGATTTTTCTCACAGAAAATCCCTTGAAGTTGACTCACTAAACAACAAACAAAGGCTAACAAAATAAAATCTGTTGGTTTGGCAATAAGTGTTTTATCAGCAACTCACAAAAGCTTTAATACATTTACCTTGCATTCTAAAACGTTCTCATACTTTGCACTGTTGGAAGAATCATTTTACTGCCCTTAGTTGTATTCTGTGCAACAAAACCCTTCTTAATATATTTCAGTGGTGTGAGTCTGTTATTACTGTTCTCAATCACGATTGACCTAATTCTGGTTCATGACAAACATGCATGGTACCGCGCCGGTACAAATAGATGGTCAAATTTCAGACTGTCAATTTCGCAAGCGGTAAGTAGATTGGAAGATGATGTCTTGTACAACAGAAAGCTTAATTGTAATTGTCATTAATGGCAGCCTGTAATTAAGTTGTCAAAAAATTGAAAGGGATATGTGGTTAATGTTTGCACCGACCTTCAGCGTAGGTAATCGGTTTTTCAAACTGTCGACTGATAGATGGGTTGAAGAGAAATTTTATTGGCAATTTCTGTCAATTTCGCAAGCGGTAAGTAGATTAGAAGATGATGTCTTGTACAACAGAAAGCTTAATTGTAATTGTCATTAATGGCAGCCTGTAATTAAGTTGTCAAAAAATTGAAAGGGATATGTGGTTAATGTTTGCACCGACCTTCAGCGTAGGTAATCGGTTTTTCAAACTGTCGACGGATAGATGGGTTTAAGAGAAATTTTATTGGCAATTTCTCCAGCCAGCATGCATCGACAAAAAAAACCTGTATTTACGGCAACTGAACTGCTTACTTTGTCTGTGGCAACACGTCAATAATGAACTGAGCTGTAGGCTTAATTTATCCATGGCAACGGGTCCAGCATCAATGGTTGGCCTGTTTTCTCAAGTCAGAGCGGTGGTACGGTGATTTTAGGTCAGGTATTTGCTGTTCTTACCCAATCAATCCAGTGCAGTGATACATCGGGCAGCTTTGCTGTTCACAGAGGGCCAGCCGAGCGTTCTCTTTGCATCTTTCTCACTGACTGGCTGTCACTTGTGACTTAAACAGGGACTGCCTAGTTGTGTTTTGAGCTACGTCAGACTTGAACGTCATATTTGTGTATTGCTGAGTTAGCAAATTGTGCTGCCATTCTGGATGTAGAGAGAGAAGTTTTAGCCAAAAGGAGTGTTTAAATAATCTGTTTGTAGTGCGCATCCTGCAGCACTTGCACACAGTACGGACTCATATTTCAGTGGGCATTGGCTGATGTTTGATGCTTTTACATTGGATAGTTGCTGCAGCTTGTTTGCTGTTGATAATTAAGTGATCTTTCTGGGAATTGTTTTGTGTAACCGTTGGGGAAATTGAAAATGGAGCTGCACCATAACTTTTCAGAAGGTGGTAATAACTCCTCATCGGAGCAAGGGACTTCTCCCCAATTCAGTCTTCAAATCCTGACTATCATTAAGTATGCCTTGATACTGCCATTATCAATTCTCCTAGTAGCCATTGATCTGTACATTATCTTCGGCATTTGTCGCAACCGCAACCTGCGCAGCGTCTCTAACTATTTCCTGGCTAACTTGCTCGCCAGTGAACTCATATATATACTTGTGATTTTCTTTGACAATCACGTGCTTTTATCGCCAGACGGTTGCCTAAATTGTGGGAATACGCATGTGTATGTCTTTTTTGTGACCAGCATGCACCTGCTTTACTTTCTGTGTGGTGTCTACGTTGCCGTCGACACGTACATTAAGATCACTCGTCCTCTGAGGTACACACAGCTGATAACCAAAAGGATTTGCATCACATTTGTCGGCGTTGCGTGGGTCCTACCATTTGCTGCTGGTGGTCTGGCATTAGTACTGTTTCGAAATTTAGTGGGATGCAAAAACCCTAAGGATCTACGGATTGACCTTCAGAAGGCAATTCTTATTCTCTCTGATGGAGTTCTCTTGCCGATGCTGATGATCATCATGGGTCTAAACATGAATATAATCTGTATCGCCAGGCATCAAGCGCGAGCCATAGCCAACATGGCTCCACAGCACCATGCCAATTTGGACAACCATAACGACACCAGCGACCAGCAACAACAAGCTGTCCGCAAGAGTACCCGATACTTCAAGGCTTTCCTCTGGTCCTTTGTTCTGGTCTGGGTGCCCCCAATCCTAATTGAAAACATCTCCTACATCCTGCCGCTCTCCAGAGGTAACCTGCTTTGGTACGTTGGAATCAGAAATGCCATGAACGTCCTGGGGTTGTGTCAGATGCTCTATGGTACGGTCGTTCTTACCTTGAAGCAAGAACAATTCAGAGAGTTGTGGAGAGGCCACTGGCAAACAATCAAGCAGAAACTCCACATCTAAGGTGTGCTAACCAGTGTTGTAGTAGAGACCGGATAGTCCGAGACCGAGACCAAGACCGAGACCTGAAGTTGTGAGACCGAGACCGAGACCAGTCCCTTCAAGGCGGACCGAGACCGAGACCGAAATGGTCCGAGACCGAGACCGAGACCGAGACCGAGACCGCGGATAATAAATAACAATAATCTAAACAAACAACAAGACACTTATTACAGCTGAACAGTCTGTCCTTGAGATGTTGATGTTCATGGGGATGTGAAGGAAGTGATTGAAAGTTAGGAATCACTTGTACTTGCTTAATTGTGTCATGCGAGTGCTCTTCGTGTTTGCTTCATGCCATAAATTACAACATGGCAACAGAATTTGTTATTGTCACAATCAATTAAAGAAAATTGGAAACAACCTAATTTAAAGAAGGGGAAGACCTTATTTGATGAACTCCATATATTTTTGCCACTTTTAAAAAAATATTTTTAACTACTATAAAGTGTAAATCTGATGAAGAAACTCTAACTTAGGAGTACGACAATTTGTACTAGTTTTTGCAAAACTTGAACATGTTGAAACTTGACAAAAGTAAAAAGTTAAAGGTGGATGTGTCATCTGTTATAGGAACTCGGACCCTAAACTCCACAGCCACCCCTTGGTTTTAGCAATGACCACTTACAGATATTTAAATGCAACTTTAATTTTACATTGGACCTCCTTGTAAAGCTGATTCGAAAAAAATTTGGAGCAAGAAAATATTGATTTATTTTTTAAAATTTCAGTCATGGAATATAGATTTGTACATGTAGACCAACAAATTGAGAGATGGTAGCCAGATATGGATTGGTCTGCCCCCCCCCATCCCTCTTTGTGATTTTCCTTCCAACCCTGCATGTTTGTGTGTCCCCTACATGTTTGTTTCTTGTTCCTCTGTCATTTACCTCTGAAGAAGGCCTGGCTAAGGCTGAAATGTAATGCCACTTTATTTTTGTTTAATGTCAATAACGTTACATCTACTATAGAAGATTGATGAACCATATTTGCCTGATCTATCTTCTGTTAATCTGCCCGTCGTCATCATCGTCATTAGCCTATTTGAGAATATGGCCGACACAATAGAAGGGCACTGTCACTAACTGAATGTGGTGGGTGAGATGCACTTTTAGGATTCATGGCTCAGTGCGCACGCCTCTCTGTGTTTTGTACCGTGCGATCGTATCGCTTGCATCAGCTACTTTGCCGGGCACTTTACTTGAATATTTAAGTGATTTACAAGTACGACATATTGCCAATATATTAATAGTTTATTGTGAAGGCCGTAAACAGCATATATAGCGATTAATGGAACACAATTCTTCTCGACTCATGCAAATGCAATTGACATTTAGGAAGGAGACGAGGCAGGCAATTAGACTCTATTTTTGTGTGACTATGGCAGTAGCTCAATTTGTGTTTATCACAGAAGAAAAGATGAATACATGGCGAGTCAAAAAGAAAGTGACCGTATGATAAAAAAAAAGGCATGCTCCATTTCGTAAAAAGTATAATTGGGATAAAGAACATGTTATTGAGTAGTAACTGTGAACATTTCACGTAATTTGCACACTCTATTCCCAAGTCGTGTCTATTTTAATAAAGAGATCACAAAATTCAGCTGTCCACCACTAATACCAATTTAACGGTCTACGAATTGATGAATATCCATTAATAAATATAATGGAAAAAAAACGTTTTCCCGCCTCCACGAATAAAGGAAAAATTGAAAAGGAAAATAGAAAAAATATCACCAATATTTCTAGGGAAAAAGAGTTGAATTGTTCCCCATATTCATAACACAAAATCTGACGGTAATATTAGTCTTGATTCATTAGCATCACACTGCAGTCACATTTGCCCTAAACTGATTCTTTACTTAACCCTAAAAGGGCCGGGGGCGGAATCCGCCCCCCCCCCTCACTTTTTGGCTTGTCTTGACTCGAGACCAGCCAAAATATCAAGACCAAAGGGGACCGAGACCGAGACCAAGACCGAGACCGGCAAAAAGTGGTCTCGAGACCGAGACCAAGACCGGTCTCAAACCTACAACACTGCTCACAATACAACTAGATATTTGCGTTTGTTTAGTTACAAACGCAGGGTGATTAGGCAGGCAGCTAGGCCTATTTCATTGTACATTGGAGTTCAGTTGTGAATATTTTTGTTAGAACAGAAAAGGGAAAGTTCAGCCTTTCCAGTAGAACCATTTGTTTAATTTGAAGGGGAGAAATGCATCATTTGGGGTGTGATAAATTTCACTATACATTCACTATACATCTTTGGAATAGACTATGGTTGATGTTCACACCAGGTTTCATCCTTTTCCCTTGACCCGTTGCGAAGAAATTAGTATATTTTTAATTTTTATTTGAGGCTTCTGTTTCCCTTAATATACACCTTACTTTGACCTGGTTACCCGGAAAGGAAAAGTCAGCCTTTGCAAATCAAAAATGTTCATCAATGAACAAAGACGGTAATTTTGTGCACTAAAAGTGTAAGTAATTTGATACCTGATGACATCATCATGACGTCAGAGAATATGCGCACCTCGGGACCAAGGTTGATGTTTGTTCACAAGTTCATACCATGTACCGTCAAGTCACAGAAATTTATTGTCCAGAAAAAAAAGAAGGATAGAAAGAAAGAAAGAAAAATTTGACGATTCCAAAACCGTGATTTGGTCGTACTCGATCACCCAAAAAACGCCATTGGCAAAAAATATGAACCTTTTTTCTGCATTTAACACAAAAAGACACAATACAACATTTTGCATTTCACCTGTGTAAACAAGTTGCCAAAATGATCCATTAAAATCCATAATTTTAGCCCAAAAAATATACACTTAAATATATTTCATCTCACTGGCACATCACTCAAATGACAATGTTTGTTGCCAAACCAAAAAAAAAAAATTCTTGGCCTGTGTTTTTTTTTTTGAGTTTACATGTATTCACATAATTTATGTGAGAAAAATCATCTTTTATGCTTTGACTGCATAAAATAACAGCACAGAAATGACAGAAAACCTCCGTTAAATTCTTGAGTTCCCGTGGAATTCTACATACAGTACTTCTACCATGTAATTGTCACTAATGGCAACCACTTATTGAGCTGTTGAAAATCTGAGGATATCGGTTTCATGTTTGGACTGACCTTAAGCATGAATAGTCGCTTTGTCAAACTTTATTTTAATAAAAGCATGTCCTGATGGGTTGAGCAGAAATTTTATTGACAATTTCCCAAAAAAGCATGCCCTGTAATTGCCAATTTTGGATTTTAATAAAGTTGTCTCTATTGATCTACCTTGTCAAAAAAATAATTGCAACGCATCCATTGACGGCAAGACTCACTTTTTCCATGGCAACGGGTCCAGAATCAATCAAGCGAGATCATTTGGAGCAGTGGTGCGGCAATTGATGTGTCTTGTGAATCAGTCCAGTGACGCAATATGTCTGGCTGTTCCCAGAACGACAGCCTAGCGTTCTCTTTGCATCTTTCTCACTGACTGACTGTCACTTGTGACTTAGACCGGGACTGCCTAGTTGTGTTTTGAGCTACTTCAGACTTGAAAGTCACATTTGTGTATTTCCGAGTAAGCAAACTGTGCTGCTATTCTGGATGTGGAGACGGTAGTGTTGGCGAAAGAAGTTTTAAACAAACTATTTGTTTCTGCTGCATGCCCGGCAGCACTTGTAGACGGACCCATCTTTCAGTGGGCATTGGCTGATGTTTGAGGCTTTGGCTAATAGCTTGTTTGCTATTATTTATTACGTGATCTTTCTGTGAAGTGTTTTGCACTCAAATATTCTCACATCGTAGACTCATACTGTATAGTCTGACCGTTGGGAGAATTGAAAATGAAGCTGCTCCGAAATATTTCACGCGGACCCTTATCACCTGGGAATGGACAATGGCGTAACTTTTCTGAAGAAAATCCCCACTTTTCTAACGATTGGGTTTCACCATTTGGAAATGGACAACAACACCAACGCCCCCCGTTTTGGAATGAACGAGGGGGTAACTTTTCAGAATTTGGGAACTGGCGGGATGGCAATGGTTCCCAGTTGGAGCAAGGGTCTTGTCGCCAATTTGATAATCTCCACGATCTTGAAATCTTCACTGCCATTAAGTATGCCCTGCTGCTGCCGTTATCAATTCTCCTAGCAGCCATTGATCTGTACATCATCTTTGCCATTTGTCGCAACCGCAACCTGCGCAGTATCTCCAACTATTTCCTGGCTAACTTGCTCGCCAGTGAACTCGTCTACAAACTGCTGATGTGCTTTAACAATGAACTGCTGGTATCACCAGATGGTTGCGTACAGTGTGAGAATTCATACCTGTATGTCTTTGCCCTAACCAGCATGCATCTGATCTACTTTCTCAGCGGCATTTGCGTTGCCGTCGACAAGTACATTAAGATCACTCGTCCTCTGAGGTATGCAGCGATGGTCACCAGAAGGGTTTGCATTGTCGTCGTCACCATTGCATGGGTCTCGGCATTGGCCGGTGGTGGCTTAGCATCACTACTGTTTCAATATTTAGTGGGATGCACAACGCCTAGGGCTCTGCAAAGTCACCTTCAGACGACAATGCTTTTTCTCTCTGATGGCATTGTCTTGCCGATGGTGATGATCATCATGTGTCTAAACATAAAGATAATCTGTATCGCCAGGCATCAAGCGCGAGCGATAGCCAACATGGCTCCACAGCACCATGCCAATTCCGACAACCGTAACGACACCAGCGACCAGCAACAACAAGCTGTCCGCAAGAGTACCCGATACTTCAAGGCTTTCCTCTGGTCCTTCGTTCTGGTCTGGGTTCCATCCGTCATGGTTACAAACATCTGCTACATCCTGCCATTCTCCAGAGGGAACCTGTCTTGGTTCATTGGAATCAGAAATGCAATGAACGTCCTAGGGTTGTGTCAGATGCTCTATGGAACAGTCGTTCTTACCTTGAAGCAAGAACAATTCAGAGAGTTGTGGAGAGGCCACTGGCAAACAATCAAGCAGAAACTCCACATCTAAGGTATCATTCTCATCTATGCTAACAAGGTAAAGCAACTTGAGTTAAATGTATAAAGGGGTCTCCATCAACTCTGTGCTGTTATTCCATTTAAGGTGAATTTTTTCTCACCAAAGATACCTTGAAGTTGACTCACCAAACTAGGCAATAAGTATTTTATCGGTAACTTACAAAAACTTTAATACCTTGCATTCTAAAATGTTCTCATACTTTGCACTGTTAGAAGAATCATTTCACTGCCCTTAGTTGTATTCTGTGCAACAAGACCCTTCTTAATATATTTCAGTGGTGTGAGTCTGTTATTACTGTTCTCAATCACGATTGACCTAATTCTGGTTCATGACAAACATGCATGGTACCGCGCCGGTACAAATAGATGGTCAAATTTCAGACTGTCAATTTCGCAAGCGGTAAGTAGATTGGAAGATGACGTCTTGTACAACAGAAAGCTTAGTTGTAATTGTCATTAATGGCAGCCTGTAGTTAAGTTGTCAAAAAATTGAAAGGGATATGTGGTTAATGTTTGCACCGACCTTCAGCGTAGGTAATCGGTTTTTCAAACTGTCGACGGATAGATGGGTTGAAGAGAAATTTTATTGGCAATTTCTCCAGCCAGCATGCATCGACAAAAAAACCTGTATTTACGGCAACTTAACTGCTTACTTTGTCTGTGGCAACACGTCAATAATGAACTGAGAGGCTTAATTTATCCATGGCAACGGGTCCAGCATCAATGGTTGGCCTGTTTTCTCAAGCCAGAGCGGTGGTGCGGTGATTTTAGGTCGGGTAGTTGCTGTTCTTACCCAATCAGTCCAGTGCAGTGATACATCGGGCAGTTTTTGCTGTTCACAGAGGGCCAGCCGAGCGTTCTCTTTGCATCTTTCTCACTGACTGACTGTCACTTGTGAATTAAACAGGGACTGCCTAGTTGTGTTTTCAGCTACGTCAGACTTGAACGTCATATTGTGTATTAGCTGAGTTAGCAAACTGTGCTGCCATTCTGGATGTAGAAAGAGAAGTGTTGGCCAAAAGGAGTGTTTAAACAATCTGTTTGTACCGGTAGTGCGCATCTTGCTGCACTTGCACACAGTACGGACTCATATTTCAGTGGGCATTGGCTGATGTTTGATGCTTTTACATTGGATACTTGCTGCAGCTTGTTTGCTGTTATTAATAAAGTGATCTTTCTGGGAAGTGTTTTGTGTAACCGTTGGGGAAATTGAAAATGGAGCTGCTCCATAACTTTTCAGAGCGTGGCAATAGTTCCTCGTCGGAGCAAGGGGCTTCTCCCCAATCCAGTCTTGAAATCCTGAATATCATTAAGTATGCCTTGATACTGCCATTATCAATTCTCCTAGTAGCCATTGATCTGTACATCATCTTCGGCATTTGTCGCAACCGCAACCTGCGCAGCATCTCTAACTATTTCCTGGATAACTTGCTCGCCAGTGAACTCATATACATACTTGTGATTTTCTTTGACAATCTCCTGCTTTTATCGCCAGCAGGTTGCAATAATTGTGAGAATACGCACCTGTATGTCTTTGTTGTGACCAGCATGCACCTGCTTTACTTTCTGTGTGGTATCTGCTTTGCCGTCGACAAGTACATCAAAATCACTCGTCCTCTGAGGTACACACAGCTGATAACCAATAGGATTTGCATCACATTTGTCGGCGTTGCGTGGGTCCTACCATTTGCTGCTGGTGGTCTGGCATTAGTACTGTTTCGAAATTTAGTGAGATGCAAAAACCCTAAGGATCTACGGATTGAACTTCAGCAGGCAATTCTTATTCTCTCTGATGGAGTTGTCTTGCCGATGCTGATGATCATCATGGGTCTAAACATGAAGATAATCTGTATCGTCAGGCATCAAACGCGAGCGATAGCCAACATGGCTCCACAGCACCATGCCGATTCCGACAACCATAACGACATCAGCGACCAGCAACAACAAGCTGTCTGCAAGAGTACCCGATACTTCAAGGCTTTCCTCTGGTCCTTTGTTCTGGTTTGGGTGCCCCCAATCCTAATCGAAAACATCTCTTACATCCTGCCGCACTCCAGAGGTAATCTGCTTTGGTATGTTGGAATCAGAAATGCCATGAACGTCCTGGGGTTGTGTCAGATGCTCTATGGTACGGTCGTTCTTACCTTGAAGCAAGAACAATTCAGAGAGTTGTGGAGAGGCCACTGGCAAATAATCAAGCAGAAACTCCACATCTAAGGTATCATTCTCATCTATGCTAACAAGGTAAAACAATTTGAGTTATGTTTAAAGGGGTCTTCCATCAACTCTGTGCTGTCATTCTATTTTGAAGTTGACTCACTATTTACCAAAAACAGGTAAGAAAATAAAAGTCTGTTGGTTTGGCAATAAGTGGTTTTTGGGGGGTAACTCGCATTTAAAAAACGGCAAAAATGGCAACAATTTTAATACCTTGCATTTTCAAATTGTCTGATACTGTGCACTGTTAGAAGAATCTTTTCACTGCCCTTACATCATCAGGGTGTAAGCCATGTGCTACCATAACAACTATTGGACAATCAAGTCTCTAGAGGGATATATTTCGGTAACTCTCATTACGGTAACTCTCATTATGGTAACTCTCATTACGGTAACTCTCATTACGGTAACTCTCATTACGGTAACTCTCATTACGGTAACTCTCATTACGGTAACTCTCATTACGGTAACTCTCATTACGGTAACTCTCATTACGGTAACTCTCATTACGGTAACCCTCATTACGGTAACTCTCATTACGGTAACTCCCATTACGGTAACCCTCATTACGGTAACTCTCATTACGGTAACTCTCATTACGGTAACTCTCATTACGGTATCTCCCATTAGGGTAACTGTCATTACGGTAACTCTCATTACGGTAACTCCCATTACAGTAACTCTCATTATGGTAACTCCCATTACGGTAACTCTCATTACGGTACGGTAACTCTCATTAAGGTAACTCCCATTACGGTAACTCCCCTTACGGTAACTCTCCTTACGGTAACTCTCATTATGGTAACTCTCAATACGGTATCTCCCATTACAGTTACTCACAATACAGTTTGTCAGCCCATCTTTGGTACAAGTTGAAACATATAAGAAACTTACAAACAACTAGATATTTGTGTTTGTTTAGTTACAAACGCAGGGTGATTTGGCAGGCAGCTAGGCCTATTTCATTGTACATTGGAGTTCAGTTGTGAATATTTTTGTAAGAGCAGAAAAGGGAAAATTCAGGCTTTCCAGTAGAACCATTTGTTTAATTTGAAGGGGAGAAATGCATCATTTGGGGTGTGATAAATTTCACTATACATTCACTATACATCTTCGGAATAGACTATGGTTGATGTTCACACCAGGTTTCATCCTTTTCCCTTGACCCGTTGCGAAGAAATTAGTATATTTTTAATTTTTATTTGAGGCTTCTGTTTCCCTTAATATACACCTAACTTTGACCTGGTTACCCGGAAAGGAAAAGTCAGCCTTTGCAAATCAAAAATGTTCATCAATGAACGAAGACGGTAAGTTTGTGCACTAAAAGTGTAAGTAATTTGATACCTGATGACGTCATCATGACGTCAGAGAATATGCGCACCTCGGGACCAAGGTTGATGTTTGTTCACAAGTTCATACCATGTACTGTTCAGTCACAGACATTTATTGTCCAGAAAAAAAAGGATAGAAAGAAAGAAAGAAAAATTTGACAATCCAAAACGGTGATTTGGTCGTACCCATTACCCAAAAAACGCCATTGGCAAAAAATATGAACCTTTCTTCTGTATTTAACACAAAAAGACACACTACAACCTTTTGCATTTTACCTGTGTAAACAAATGATCCACTAAGATCCATAATTTTAGCCAAAAAATATACAGTTAAATATATTTCATCTCACTGGCACATCACTCAAATGATAATGTTTGTTGCCAAACCCAAAAAAAATTTCTTGGCCTGTCTTGGCCTTTTTTGTAGTTTATTCACATAATTTATGTGAGAAAAATCATCCTTTATGCTTTGACTGCATAGAATAACAGCACAGAAATGACAGAAAACCTCCTTTAAATGTGACGTGAGTTCCCGTGGAATTCTACATACAGTACTTCTACCATGTAATTGTCACTAATGGCAACCTATTATTGAGTTGTTGAAAATTTGAGGATATTGGTTTCATGTTTGGACTGACCTTAAGCATGAATAGTCGCTTTGTCAAACTTTATTTTAATAAAAGCATGCCCTGATGGGTTGAGCAGAAATTTTATTGACAATTTCCCAAAACAGCATGCCTTGTAATTGCCAGTTTTGGATTCTTATTAAGTTGTATCTATCTAGATCGATCTTGTCAAAATAATAAATGCAGCGCGTCCATTGACTGCAAGTCTCACTTTTTCCATGGCAACGGGTCCAGAATCAATGGTTGGTCTGTTTTCTCAAGCCAGAACATTTGGAGCAGTGGTGCGGCAGTTGATGTGTCTGTTGTGAATCAGTCCAGTGAAGCAATATGTCTGGCTGTTCCCAGAACGACAGCCTAGCGTTCTCTTTGCATCTTTCTCACTGACTGACTGTCACTTGTGACTTCGACAGGGACTGCCTAGTTGTGTTTTGAGCTACTTCAGACTTGAAAGTCACATTTGTGTATTTCCGAGTAAGCAAACTGTGCTGCTATTCTGGATGTGGAGACGGTAGTGTTGGCGAAAGAAGTTTTAAACAAGCTGTTTGTTTCTGCTGCATGCCCGGCAGCACTTGTAGACGGACCCATCTTTCAGTGGGCATTGGCTGATGTTTGAGGCTTTGGCTAATAGCTTGTTTGCTATTATTTATTACGTGATCTTTCTGTGAAGTGTTTTGCACTCAAATATTCTCACATCGTAGACTCGTACTGCATAGGCTGACCGCTGGGAGAATTGAAAATGAAGCTGCTCCGAAATATTTCACGCGGACCCTTATCACCTGGGAATGGACAATGGCGTAACTTTTCTGAAGAAAATCCCCACTTTTCTAACGAGTGGGTTCCACCATTTGGAAATGGACAACAACACCAACGCCCCCCGTTTTGGAATGAACGAGGGGGTAACTTTTCAGAATTTGGGAACTGGCGGGATGGCAATGGTTCCCGGTTGGAGCAAGGGTCTTGTCGCCAATTTGATAATCTCCACGATCTTGAAATCTTCACTGCCATTAAGTATGCCCTGCTGCTGCCGTTATCAATTCTCCTAGCAGCCATTGATCTGTACATCATCTTTGCCATTTGTCGCAACCGCAACCTGCGCAGTATCTCCAACTATTTCCTGGCTAACCTTCTTGCTAGTGAACTCGTCTACAAACTTCTGATGTGCTTTAACAATGAACTGCGGGTATCACCAGATGGTTGCGTACAGTGTGAGAATTCATACCTGTATGTCTTTGCCCTAACCAGCATGCACTTGATCTACTTTCTCAGCGGCATTTGCGTTGCCGTCGACAAGTACATTAAGATCACTCGTCCTCTGAGGTATGCAGCGATGGTCACCAGAAGGGTTTGCATTGTCGTTGTCACCATTGCATGGGTCTCGGCATTGGCCGGTGGTGGCTTAGCATCACTACTGTTTCAATATTTAGTGGGATGCACAACGCCTAGGGCTCTGCAAAGTCACCTTCGGACGACAATGCTTTTTCTCTCTGATGGCGTTGTCTTGCCGTTGGTGATGATCATCATGGGTCTAAATATGAAGATAATCTGTATTGCCAGGCATCAAGCGCGAGCGATAGCCAACATGGCTCCACAGCACCATGGCAATTCCGACAACCGTAACGACGACAGCGACCAGCAACAACAAGCTGTCCGCAAGAGTACCCGATACTTCAAGGCTTTCCTCTGGTCCTTTGTTCTGGTCTGGGTTCCGTCCGTCATGGTCGCAAACATCTCCTACATCTTGCCAATCGCCAGAGAGAACCTGTCTTGGTCAATTGGAATCAGATATGGCATGAACGTCCTGGGGTTGTGTCAGATGCTCTATGGAACGGCCGTTCTTACCATGAAGCAAGAACAATTCAGAGAGTTGTGGAGAGGCCACTGGCAAACAATCAAGCAGAAACTCCACATCTAAGGTATCATTCTCATCTATGCTAACAAATAAAAACAAAGTATGGACCAAGTCTGCATCCGTCAATCACACTGCTTCCAATACATGCTTTGTTGTAGGACTTTAGGCCCAAGTCCATCATACTCCATGAATATCTAGTCAAACCAGGCCTGCAGGACTATGTCCCCCAAAATCCACCAACTTCGAGGTGGGGGAATGGATTTTGATGGAGTGGGGAGGTTAGCATTAAAAAGTGAAGAGGGTATTTTTCTAATGACGGTGTTTTGTTGTTTTTTTGTCTTCCTAGGTCTTTGGCTTCATCGCAGCTCTTGCGTACATCATTCAGATCTTCTTTGCTATCCGTGCGTGGAAGAGGAGCATCATTGCTGATACGTTGAGGATGGTAGAGGCCGAGAGAGCTCAGCATACAGGCGCAACGACCGATAACAGCGTCTAGGACACTCACAGGTTGGCCAGAATCAAGCATCAAAAACCAGAATTGTAGCTTAGCCCATCACAAGTCAAATCACGAGTTAAGTCACTGGTAATAGTAGATGAAAAGTGACAAAAGAATGCGAGTGTCTTGTTACAGTTGAATTATTTGTGATTGACTTGTGATTGCATTGTGATGGGACTTGTGATGAACATGTGATGGACATGTGATGAACATGTGATGGACTTGTGATGGACATGTGATGGACTTGTGATGGACATGTGATGGACATGTGATGGACATGTGATGGACATGTGATTGACTCGTGATTGACTCGTGATTGACTTGTGATTGACTCGTGATTGCCTCGTGATTGACTCTTGAGAACTTGACTACAACTAAAAAAAAATTAGATCTGCATGTATTGGTTGTATTTGTTCAACAATACGTCAGACCCGAAGAGTCTACATATTGTGTATATAAAAACCAAGAAGTGCTTTCAGTATTTTTATGTATGCTATAAATATAAAATAGATGATATATAAGAAATTTATATAACCATATAAGAGTTTTACTTGGATTGCTAGTTTCATTTTGGCTTTTGCTAATATTTGTAATTTTTGAAAACACAAAGTGGTTCTGGATTAAGAAAGTAGTTGTGCACAAAGTTTTTTGTGTGAAATTCATATAACTGAATAAAATTATATTAGTAAATGAAAGATTAAGTTTGGCTTTAACTCGCATTTTCGTAATTTAAAAAGAAAATGAAATTGATTAGTACAATGTAGGTGTTCGTGTGTATAACAAATTTGTATGAAATTCATTTAATGAATGAACATTACTATGAATTGTTTAAGTAAGGATAACATTTTGTCTAAATAGCATTTTCGATTTTATTAATTTCTTCAAAATACCATTGGAATCAGTTTTGTGGATGTGCTCAAAAATGTGATATACATGTATATTGTTAATTTTTCAAAACTAGGTTTTTAATTTTCATATGATTTCGATGGATAGTTATTGCAAGAAACATAAACGATTTTTTGTCAGAGATTAAAAAGCTTTTGGCTTGATTTGAGACAGGACTTGCAATGTGACTTTCGATTGACGTATGAGACCTGGGCCCAATATCATGGCTCTGCTCATCGTTAGCGAACAATCCCTGCTTACTGTAGTAGAAAATTACATGCTTATGGTTAGCATATCTCATGGGTAAGCTAGGAATTTTGGCTTATGTGCATGCGTACATCCCGCAATTAAGGATTCCATGCTTACAGGGTAAGTGCATAATTTTTCAGCTAGTGCAGAGACATTGAAAATTGCTTAGCGCAGAAAGTCTTTGCAGGGAACTTGCCAAATGTCATGGGATTTACGTTGCTTAGACTTGGCCTGATCTCAGAGCTCCACCATGATTGCTCCTTACCGGAACTTTAAAGGGGCGCTGTTACTTGTTCTGATGTTATGCTTGAAAATTTGAAGATTTAAACCAAAATTTAATGACCAATTTCAGCCCTTTTGGGACCACTGCTTACAATATTTACATATAGGACCAACTACCACAAAATGAAAAAAAAGAACTCTTCTGACATTTTACTTTTTTGAAGATATTGACCAATTGTTAGAAGTTGTTAGATCTGTTAAGGTTCTTTAATATAAAAACAAAACTTAGACTAATCATGATGTTGAAGGTTTTTATTGACAAACACTTGAGATTCTAATTGTTGTGAATTAAACAAATTAATTACAAGTTTAACTTTTCCATGTGTTAACGAATCAGTGTTTTCTAAAATATTGCTTTAAATTGAGTGTTGTGGCTGCCACCAAAATATTGCATTATAATTTAGCTGAGTTTTTATTGGTGTTTCATATTTTCTTATTACTCTTTAATTGTCAGTGACAGATTTTTATTCCTTTATTTGGTGATTGACCAGCTCCTCTTGAACAAAGACATTGACAAATAGCCAACAAATTGGGAACTGCCAGACATAGGGCTGGATAGCTCAGTTGGTAGAGCACTGGAACGGCAATCCAGAGGACGCAGGTTCAAACCACGCTCCAGTCAATGTCTTTGTTCAACCTTATATTGATTGCTTTGGTGTTGGTGAGCAATTTTACAAGTTAGGTATTATACTGTACGGTGCAAGGGTTTAATATTAACAGTTATGGTGCTTGGTGTATAGGTAAGGTGCTTTGCTGTAAGTACATTGTAACACTGTTTTCTCCCTGCCTTTTGTAGGTTATGGTTGCTAACTTTTTACTGCTTTTTGTAGCTGTGCTGCTTTTCTACTACTGTTTTCATTGCACACCAATGGTGATATTCATATTTTTTTTGGAAAGATATCTATATGGGTAGCAAGTTTGTTTTGTGGAGTTCATTTTGACTTGGCCTGATGAACAAACGCATAGATGGATAAAATAAAAAGCATGTTTGCCTTATTAAACACCAAAAATTGTGAAATTATTTCCTAGCTTTAATAAATTACGAATTAGAGGCTAACCCCCTTGAATTTTTTTCAGTTTTGGCCAAAAATTTAAATTGCGCCCAAACTTCCAGGAAAGATGCCTAAGGGACCCTAGAAGACATTCCAACTCACAGATGTGCCGATAGACAGGAACAATGCGTCGAAAATTTGGGTCAAAATAAGTTTTAAATATCATTTTTTTTCTCAATATATCAATTATTTTTGCCAAAATCTTCGAAATATTGGCAGTTAAGTCTGAATTTTGTATGATACTCTCCTTGCATCAAGTCATTTCTGCGTCGTTTGGAGAAAAGTCATTTTTTGACCAAATTTGATTTTTTTCAATTTTGGCAAAAAATTTAAATTGCGCCGAACTTCCAGTAAAGATGCCCAAGGGACCCTAGAAGACATTCCAACTTGATGTACGGACAGATGTGCCAATAGACGGGAACAGTGCGTCGAAATTTTGGGTCAAAATAAGTTTTAAAAATCTATTTTTTTATCAATTATTTTTGCCCAAATATTAGCAGTCTGAATATTGTATGATACTCTTCTTGCATCATACATGTAAGTTATTTCTGCGTCGTTTGGAGAAAAGTCATTTTTTGACCAAATTTGATGGAAAATGTAAGGCTTACCCCTTGCATTTTTTTCAATTTTGGCCATAAATATAAATTGCACCAATTTTTCCAGGAAAGATGCCTAAGGGACCCTAGAACGCATTCCAAATCGATTACAGGACAAATATGCTATTAAAAGGGAATTTCCGTCAAAATATTAAGGTATAATCGCTCAAAAATTTATTTATTTTTTCTCGAAAAATTGTTTATTTTTGCCCAAATCTTCAAAATTATGCTTGTTAGAGTATTGTTTGATGTTCCTCTTGCATCCAGATGAATTTCTGCCTTGTTTTGAGAAAAGTCAATTTTTGGCTGACTTTGACTAAAAATGTAAGGCTAACCCCTTGCATTTTTTTTCAATTTTGACCAAAAAATGAAATTTCTTGAAAGTTGCTTGAAAGATGCCTTAAGGGCCCTATAAACACATTCCAAATCGATTGCAGTATAAATGTGTTGTTAAAGGGGAATTTCCGTCGAAAAATTAAGGTAAAACGCTCAAAAACTATTTATTTTTCTTCAAAAATTGTTTATTTTTGCCCCAATCTTCAAAATTATGCATGTTCGAGTATTCTTTGATGTTCCTCTTGCATCCAGATGAATTCTGCCTTGTTTTGAGAAAAGTCAATTTTTGGCCGATTTTGACTAAAAATGTAAAGCTAACCCCTTGCATTTTTTTTCAATTTTGACCAAAAAATGAAATTTCTTGAAAGTTGCTAGAAAGATGCCTTAAGGGCCCTAGAACGCATTCCAAATCGATTGCAGGACAAATGTGCTGTTAAAGGGGAATTTCCGTCGAAAAATTAAGGTAAAATCGCTCAAAAATGTATTTATTTTTTCTCGAAAAATTGTTTATTTTTGCCCAAATCTTCAAAATTATGCGTGTTAGAGTATTGTTTGATGTTCCTCTTGCATCCAGATGAATTTCTGCCTTGTTTTGAGAAAAGTCAATTTTTGGTCGATTTTGACTAAAAATGTAAGGCTAACCCCTTGCATTTTTTTTCAATTTTGGCCAAAAAATGAAATTTCTTGAAAGTTGCTAGAAAGATGCCTTAAGGGCCCTAGAACGCATTCCAAATTGATTGCAGGACAAATGTGCTGTTAAAGGGGAATTTCCGTCGAAAAAATAAGGTAAAACGCTCACAAACTATTTATTTTTTTTTCAAAAATTGTTTATTTTTGCCCAAATCTTAAAAATTATGCGTGTTCGAGTATTCTTTGATGTTCCTCTTGCATCCAGATGAATTTCTGCCTTGTTTTGAGAAAAGTCAATTTTTGGCCGATTTTGACTAAAAATGTAAGGCTAACCCCTTGCATTTTTTTTCAATTTTGGCCAAAAAATGAAATTTCTTGAAAGTTGCTAGAAAGATGCCTTAAGGGCCCTAGAACGCATTCCAAATTGATTGCAGGACAAATGTGCTGTTAAAGGGGAATTTCCGTCGAAAAATTAAGGTAAAATCGCTGAAGAATTTTATTTATTTTTTCTCGAAAAATTGTTATTTTTGCCCAAATCTTCAAAATTATGCGTGTAAGAGTATTGTTTGATGTTCCTCTTGCATCCAGATGAATTTCTTCCTTGTTTTGAGAAAAGTCAATTTTTGGCCGATTTTGACTTAAAATGTAAGGCTAACCCCTTGCATTTTTTTCAATTTTGGCCAAAAAATGAAATTTCTTGAAAGTTGCTAGAAAGATGCCTTAAGGGCCCTAGAACGCATTCCAAATTGATTGCAGGACAAATGTGCTGTTAAAGGGGAATTTCCGTCGAAAAATTAAGGTAAAATCGCTGAAGAATTTTATTTATTTTTTCTCGAAAAATTGTTATTTTTGCCCAAATCTTCAAAATTATGCGTGTAAGAGTATTGTTTGATGTTCCTCTTGCATCCAGATGAATTTCTGCCTTGTTTTGAGAAAAGTCAATTTTTGGCCGATTTTGACTTAAAATGTAAGGCTAACCCCTTGCATTTTTTTCAATTTTGGCCAAAAAATGAAATTTCTTGAAAGTTGCTAGAAAGATGCCT